GATTTTCATCATTTTTGCGTTGAAAGAAAGATAATTTTGGGAACTAGGGAATGTCAAAGCCATAATTTTAGTTTAGGGTTTCATTTTTTTGGAATTAAGTTTTAAATTTTAAAAAGTCTAGCAGCCGACGCTAACATTCTACTCTAGCGTTTGGTATAATACAATTTGCTTAACGTAACAGCTGTTTTCGACAAAAATTCAGCATTTGGATGAAAATGAAATGACATAAGTAGGGTTGATTTTCTATACTATGTGTAATGCTTTAATAATTGATACGTTTTTTTATTCGGTAAGAGGATGAGAGATAATTTAAATATACAGAGTAAAATTGAAATAATAGATGTTCTAATTAATTTTTTCAACAGTCTATAAAATCTTTAGTTTGTTTAAGTGCAATATAATTTGTTATAACTAACAACTGTTTGAATATAAAAATATTCTAAGAACTATGAGGTTAGTTTATTTACTCTGTGATTTTGTCATTGATTATAGAAATTAAGTAAGATTCTATAACCATTGCTTTATACGAATCGAAGCTCACGAGACTTCAAAAGAAAGCTTATGAAAATTGTTTTACTACCCGAATTTTTGAGGACAGGTTGGGAAAGTAACAACGACCACAAGTTTTAATTAATCTTAGTAGCTTTTTCATTACAATGAACTTTGAACTGCTTAAACTAAGCTTGAATTAGGAATAGACATATTGATATTACTATATACAGTTTTAATGGACTGCTCGATTCCCGTACGTAGGACGGGCCGACAGCTCGTATCTTTTTATTTTATATTTTTGCTACATTTAATGATTACCTTCCCATTTAGAAACATTAAAAGAAATAACTGCAAAGAGCCAATTTCAAAAAGTCAGGGAGATTCAGATTAAGATGATCTAACAGCTCCGAAATAATAGCCTACCCCATACACAACCGATAGAATTTTAGGTTATAGAATTTGTTAATATAAATTCTGTTTAATTCGATCCTACAAGACGCCTTTCGTCTTTATTTTAACCTGTGAAATTTTATAAATCACATTCGTCGTTGTAGCACAAAACCCCTTTTTCTATTCTGTAGAATTGTTTATATCACTGCATCAAAATAATAATTCAGTGTTGTTACGCTCAAAACATGACACTGATTGATGGGATGCTCTGCTATGATACCTCGAAGTGGTAATCCATTGTGATACTCTTACTACTCCTAAACGTATGTTTCAACCACCTCCACGACCACTGGACTATTGCAGCCATTGCATGAGTGCAATAACAACTCACGGCTAAGACTAATTTTCACATTAGACCTGGCAACCAACAGAGGTTCCAATATGGCGGACAATAAATCCCCAGCCAATATCAGCTGTCTGAATCGTGCTGGTCATCCAGAGTATTTATTTGGACCACATTCCTCTTTGTGCAAAACGAAGAAGACAAGAATGAACCGCCTCCTTCTCCTCCTTGAATGTTCTTGCATTGTGGCTATTGTGGTCCCTGTGGAAGTGCAAGTTAGTTGCGCAATATCTGGTAGAAGATGAGTGCAAGCTACGCAATTTCTGGTAGAGAAAAATTGTAGTTTATCAGTTTAATCTTTGAATACGTTACTCTGGTTTACCGAATGATTATCGAGGAACTAATCGGGCCATAGTTAACTCGAGATAACTCGAGTTGTTTTAAGAGATTTAGTTCCTTATTATCTTTAACGGTTAAGTATTTCGAGTATGAGTATTGTTCTAATTGTTAGATTGAGCATGCGGGGCAGCATACGGGGAAATTTTTTTTATGGATTTCTAGTTGTGCATTGGCTTTGGACACTCTAAGTACACTCCTCATCCAATTGTAAAAGCCAAAGTTTTTGTGGTTTTGGTCCGTTTTGTCGCGAGCCAGGAACAATTTGGTTATGTCGATCCTGTTTATATCGCCTGAAAGAGTATATCTCGTTTTAACTTAAGCTTGGTTTGTTTTACCCTTAGTTAAAATGCCACAATAAAAACAGCTCGAAAAAGAAAATAAGCCACTTAAGAGTTAAAAGATAAACCCCTGCCTTGAAACTGTCCTCAGTTATACAAAATTGTTAAAAGTCTATAAGGGAGTGTGTTAAGATATTCCCCTTAAGGAGCCACGAAATGTTATCATTACTCTTAAATTGCATAACCTTTCTCACTCGTTTAACACACTGTCTAAATGTTTTTGAGTTTGGATTCTGTGCATACATTTTTTTTATGAACACTCCTAAATAAATAATGTAAGCAGTTAATTTGTATGAAAAGCAACATCTGAGTTCCATCATATATAATTGCAAATAGCTCCAAAAAGGCTCATTAACATAGTACAACACCTCAGATAGCAAAGAACGGTTTGTCAGTTATTATTGTAGTTCTCATTATTAATATAAATTTAAATGTTACTGCTCTGAGCAATAGTTGTTACTTATTTCTCTCTTGCAATAATCGTATTATCTTCATTTACAAATATGTACCTCTTTCTAATTCCCACCAGTAAATATAGCTTTCAAGAGATTAGAAAGCTTAACAAATAAATTCGGAGATTTTTCCTCACGACTTATCTTATGTTATTGTTATATTAAAGGTGCAATGATAGCCAAAGCGTATCACACACGTTGTATTTTTCAATTAATTATCTTCACGTACTTGTAAACGGGGTTAATGCACCTTTATAAGCCTAAGTGAAGAGTAACAAGCACCAATTTACATTGGCAATTTCAAGACGAGTTCCTCAACCACTCATTAAATACTCCACGGCAACAAAGTGTTGGAAAAAGAACACTTTTCGCTTGCACCACCACACAAAGCCTGGGGCTCAGCGGATGATTCGCGAGATTTGAAGGTCAAACATAAACGCCCGAGTGCTAAATGTATCATTAAATCGACTTTTCAACCGTATAAAATCTGCATGTACAGATTACAACTTGCATTACTTCTGGGAAATACGCCTGTTAGACGAAGTGACTTAGCAAAATACCATGAAGAAACCTATGAAATACTAAACTCAATACAAATTGATTATTATATGGTTCCTAAGTTTGGAATAGTTATGGTCTAAGAAGTGTTAGATATACCATAACTAATTGTTTATTTTGTTTAGGTGATATACCTTCACTTTAAACTGTGTTCACTTTTTACTAGATATTCTGCATCATGTGTAATGCAAACTGTGCAACTAATTCTTTCCTACCACAAAAGGATGAGTATGTCCTTACTTACCAGAAAATGTATCAGTTGGGGTATTAGACAAAGGGTGATATTCTTAAAAAGGGAATTTAATAACCTACAGTCGTTTTGGAAAGATTTGTTTCTCTATTTATAACCGAAGATGATTTAAAACCAAACTATTAGCACATTTGAATTGGAACTGTATAAGACTAGTGGTAATTAAACATCTGAATTGCTCTATCTTTGCATTTACACATGAATGTCTTCTCAATACCATCCTCCCATGTCAGAGGCATGAGATGAATATGGCCAACTTATACAGAATATAAAAATTTTACTCCATTTATCGACTGTATTTTTGATTGGTACTCATATCAAGTTTTTAGTTCTCGTTGCAGGCATCTCTTGAACCACCAACGCTTTGAAGAGTAAGCAGTCCGAAATTTTCGCAGATACGGTGGGAAACGAACCCAGCACTTTCGTCCCCACGAGACTGTCAACACCATTTTCCACACGGACACGGGGAATCGTGTAAGAAACACACTTTCTGCTACAATATAATACAAAGTATTAGGTAACATGTAGATTGCATTCTACGTTGATATTCATTGTGTTTTGAGAATGTTCATCAAGTCCTTGTGTCAATTGCCTGTTGTAATAGAATAAAGACAGGTAATTAGGATGTTCCCTTCTTTATTCTGCACTGCATTTACTAGGATTCCCTCCGCAACTAAGTGTTTCCGTTTTTGTCCGTCCTCTGATCTTTGCGATACCTGCTAGTTTAGTACGTACCTAATGATCCTTGCCGTTGAAAAATACAGGTTCACAACTACGCTAATTAAATAAACAAGTCACCTTTAAGGCTAATTCTAGAAGTATTGTCAGAAGTTAGGACTAAGTTATATCCTTTAAAACCCAACGGTTTTGACTCAGCTCTTTTCCGATTTATTTACAATTTAATGAAAATACTTCTATCTACAATTGAAATTATGTTTACACTTAATACTGCTTACTCACAATGTGATAAATATTGTAGATTTTTGCATAATTATTTATATATATATATTGTGGTCTAGCCTGAAGTAATGTGAAAAACAATCCCAGGCTAGTGCCTAGCTTCCTAGAAAAAAAGATAAATATTTATATTGGTCGATAACTGGAGATCAGTTTCGGTTGGACACTATTAATTTATCAAATCACCCATTAGGTAAATATTGGAACTAACGTTTCGCCTATGGGTCTAGTAATGATTAGAGAGTCCAATCGAAATCGATCAACACCCCTATACCCTATTTTATACCCTGCTTTTATAAAATATTTACCATTTCGTAAGGAATGAATTACTGTTAGTATAAATTAATGTTTATTATAAATATATGCATTATGTGTTATAAGACGTATTTTTATTTACAGTTCGTTGATACATTAACCTATACTATGCAGATTAAGACGTTCATGATCTTGTCTCAAGACAGTAAACCCTAATCAACTCAATAAAAATAGTATTAAAAATATTGAACATAATATATTGAGTGCAAACTTAGTGTATCTTAAATAAGCTAACATTTATGTGAAAATCAGATAATAGCAAGCAACCCGCAATATGATACTACAAGCTATGATTACCTAAGACATTTAATTACTATGTTTGGAAAAATCTATTTCAATTGTCTCCTAGAAGTAAACAATTATTAACCTGTTGTTGCTTAGTTAGATAACTGCAGTTTTACTGTTTGCTATATGGTTATTAATTTGGCTATGGTACACACGGAAACCTTATATAAGGAAACTCTAAATAAATCAAGCAGTTGTATAGATGGTATTGTTGAAACATTCGTGACTTTATACAGTTGAAGAAGTCATCAGCGATGGGTTTTGGTATCTTCGTTGTGTTTTGCTACGTTCTATTGATTGCTCAGGTATGTTCTACAATATGATAAATTGCATTGAATATAACATGTATTCTTAATATCATTTAAGATTTGTACCGCATGTAGGGATGTATATAATTACTGTTCGTACGAAATCTCCACCAATTACCAGTCTGATAAATTAAAATTCTGGAATCCATCACTATTTTCTTGTACTATAACTAATTTAGAGGGGGTTTTCCAATGCACTACGTGAGAAGATGTTAACCATGCATATGTATATACATTTTATATACAAAACGTCTTTGTCACTTTTTGGATCAGGAAGAGTATTTTGACATTGTACTAACAGCTGAGATGCAGGTTTTGCAGCACAACATTATAATACAAATCTAGTTATCAAATTGGTTTCGATTAAAAAGAGATATGTTGAGCCATTTGAGTGAACACTATGTGAAAATAAGCTGAGAAAACATAAAGAAAAAGAGGGAGTCAACGGATCATACTTTCAACCCTTAAAATAATAACCAAACAAAATCTATTCAATAAATGAAGTATGCACAAAAATAAATAAAATATACCATGCTGTTTCTAAAAATGTTAGTATTTTTGGCGTTGATTGTCAATTTACTTTACGAGAGGGTTGAATAATTTCAATTTATCAATTCGGATATATCGCATAATTATATTATTCTTTACAGTCGATTCCACACCATGCATGATATACAGTGTTTCATCAAAGTGTTTTACTAATGTTAAAGTCTGATGTGTGTGTAGGCAAAACTAAACTGGGAGAGAACTGAGAAGTTTATGGCAATGTGTAAGGCTGAAACAGGCGCCGAAGAGAGTAAGTATTGATGTGAGTTTGCATCAACATACTATATAAAGTACTTTGAATACGCTAAGCTGATTATGTATATTAAACTTAAACTCAAATTATTCGTAGATAAATCTAACTTTCCAATTGAATCGTAGATTAGTTGAATTTGAAAGACTGAAATCTTAGTTTATAAAATATTCAATCTATTAAAAATGTTAAATACAGGGTGTCCCGTAACTCTCTGGACACTTGTATATAGCGTTATTGATTAGGTCAAGACAAACACATTTCACCATAGGAACATGGGTCTGTAATGTCTAGTTTACCGACTGTCAGCATTTATGGGTTTTTTACAAAAACATTAATAACTCCTAAGCGGTTTGAGATACAGCGTTGATATTTTGCAGAAATGTTAACCTTATTAGGGCTTACCTTTGTTTAAAATTATAGTAAGAAATCATTAACCGTTTCAAAATGGCAGCCATTTAAAATATTTGATGCCAAATTTTACCAAAACCGTTAACTTGACGAACAAATTGAAAGAGACCAAAAAGTTAGTAAATTGTATTTAGTTTTCAACGATACCTTATTTAATAACATTGGATAAATAATAACAGAGAAATGTCTTCTTTTCCGAATGAATGACCACTTTTCTCTAATGCTAAACAACGTGAAAGGAGTATTAGCATTGTTTAAATGGAGAAAAGTGGTCATGCATTTGGAAAAGAAATTCCTGTATATTTAAATACATTAAAATTTCCCTTCTTCCTTATGTAGATGAATTTTTATATCCAAATGCTATTAAACTGTTTTAATATTCTTGTAAGCAACATTCACTTAGAATTATTACCCTCCCACTTTCATTCACAGCTATGGACACTATTGTGGTCAAAGAAGAGCTACCAACAAATCCCAAAGGAATGGTAAGTGCTGTAGTCATTGATATACATTTTTATTCTCTATTCATATATATTTTTCGTCATTTTCTTGTATTCACGGATCGTAAATTAATAAAGAATTACTAAAATACGTTTCACAAAAAACACAAAGATTACTTTCCATTTTCCTGAAGGGTTATTATTTTTATAACTTGTGTTTTGCAACACTGGATAGTGAGGCATAATAAGATTTAGTAGAAACGGAAAATAATTGATTATAATTAAAAATTTTATCGAGTGGGGGCTTTACAGAATCATTTTAAACAAGTTCAAGTTGAAGTATATCAAATGAACAAGATATTTTTAACCGACTTCCAAACTACCAACAAAAGGAGGAGGTTCTAAATTTGTTTGTGGCGATGTTTTTTTTTTCTATGTATGTTCACCAATTTCTCTGTGATTCTTTTACCGATCAGTGTGGTTCCACCACCAAAATAACCAGGAGAGTTTCTATTTGGTACCTTATATATTATGTTTAAGTATAATATTTGTTTCGGTGAAAAATTCTGAAAACCTTAAATATTCAACATTTATTTTGTTTACATTTGTGCAGATTGTTTACATTTGTGCAGAGAAGGCAATAAATAATGATGACATTCCTACAGCTGTTAGTTGAAACCATTTAAATGAAGCTAGAGACAATTCTTCATGAAACAGTTGCTTCATATTGATCAATAAACTATTTCTTGCCATGCATTTTGTTTTGGTTACTATAAAAAATGCATTTTAACGTTTGATCTGATTTGTGTATACAGTAATTCTGTTTTTAGTATTGAATATTCTGACATAAAAAAAACATATATGTTTCAGTAAATAGCTGTTTGATATTGACAAATCTATATATATAATACGTGAAGCCGATTTTTGTTAACGCAACTCCTCCCTTATTTGTGGACCAATTTCAACGTTTAAGGTGTCAAAAGGTTCGTCTCAATATGTAGTTTTGCAATAAGGTTTTAGAATTTAAAAACTCTTACTCTTAAGGGCGTGAGACCCTCTCAAAGGTCGGGTTTTCCCCATAAGAAATAAACGAAACAAATTTAAAAACAAAAAAACAGCTGTTTATAAAAAGAAACTCATTAGCTTTTTGGGAGTAAATATTAATGTTTGTAATATTCAAGACCAAGTTAAACAGTTAATCAGTTTTGTTGGAAGTATAGAAAATGCTTCAAGCTCAAAGAAGAAATGTTGAAAACGGGAGGAGGAGACGATTTATAATAAGATATCTTATGCGTATGAGAAGAGTAGAAAAAGAGAGACCTGGTCTAACAGATACCCATCCAGATTCAAATTCACTTGGTGAGATGAATAATATTTGACAGTTATGCTATGCAACTTACTTTGGAAGTGAAAAAATATACGAAGCACATAGTGTTTTCACGGTGGTAAAGTAAACTTGCCTAATCACAGATAAAATGAATGCATGCAAGAAATGTTTACTTCTGACACTGACAGATCGATATATTTCAAAACATTTAGTAGAAACTATAATAGTGCCTTGACTATGATATGGTGTGGACTATGATATGATATGGTTGATATCACCCAACTTTTCAGGATTCTCTACGGAGAAAATTCGTTTGATTAGAGGGAAGTCTCAAATCAAAGAACTAGAATTACCCAAACTTAAATTACTTAACACAGGCTATCAGTAAGGCAACAGTTTTCTTCAATTCTCAATGCTGGAAAAACTGTGTTGTAACATGTTAACTCAATTTGAAACAGATCGTTTAGCATTCAATTAGAAGTTATCAGTTAAAACTGAGACCAGAAATAATGTAGGTGAACCTTTTACGACGCAAATAGAGATATTTAAAATTAGTTCCTAACAAGTGTTTAAACAACTCTAAGATATAACTAGAATTACTCGAATTTAAGCATAACGTTTTCCTCGGAGTTATGTTTCATACTATGCGGCTCATTGAGCCGCACGGGTTCTCTAGTAAAGGTGTATTGTGATAACCAAAGCATTCGTAAAACGGGTCTAAATATAAATTAAATGCAATTATTCCTTACACGACCTAAGAAGTGTGACATTGCATAATCGTCAATTGTCTTAAAAGTGTTAAATATTTTAATTACTAAACATTTGCAGATGTGGAATGTTTATTGATATTCTCTACCCAGTTACTATATTATCATATCAATACTATTATGCCTGCTTCGGAAAGTCCTAGAGGAAGATGATTTGCAATTTCGACTAGGCTATATCTTGATCAAACAAAACCGCCTACATGGCTTGCACCACTTTTAGCTGAACCAATCGTTCATACACATATTTCATTTGCAGATGTGGAATGTTTAATAATATTCTCTACCCAGTTACTATAACATATCAATACTATTATGCCTGCTTCGGAAAGTCCTAGAAGAAGATGATTTGCAATTTCGACTAGGCTATATCTTGAGTAAACAAAACTCCCTACATGACTTACACCACTTTTAGCTGAACCAATCTTTCATATAATATTTTCCAAAGGTACTATACGTGTTATCGACCAATTTTCCACTTTTGAGAGATTTTTACTGCTGGTAGCTGAGGAATAACTTTCATATTGTTCCAAAAGGCTTGAGACGTTACTGTATTTATTTTTATAATGTAGAAGTACACCGATTGCAGGAAACGATGATGTCTGACATTTCAATGTATCAAGAAAAGACAATTAGTTTTTCATTAGGCCTAATGTAATGGACAACTCTCTCTTTCTTAGGGAATATCTAAAAATGTTTATTTTCATACCCATTGATTATGTAACCTGAACAGGTGACTCAAGCAGTTTTAAAATAATGATTGTTCTGTGGAACTTTTGATTGTTACAAACAGTTTTGCTTATCAAAAAACCTCAAGTAATTAATATATAAAAAATTATACAGTCACTAAAAATTATGAAATAATTTATTTTTGTAAAGAAATACAACCGACTTCAAACGCTCTAAAAAGAATGAAATAATTTCAATAAAGTAAACTTTTGTACTAGGCAAGCTCACGTATCTCAAGTCGGCGCGGCTCAAACTGCAAATATGATTGAAATTAAATATTGTGCGTGTGTGTATTTTGAAAATCAATAAATTGTATCTGCATAACATAAATATATAAAAAACATACTGAACTGTTTTGTTTATATATTAAAGGAAATATTTTATGTTTACTTCAGAATAAATGCATTATGAAAATAACACACACAAATGTTCTATATGAATAGGAAAATAATTTAGTTTGATATTATGATAGGGAAAAGAAGCTAGTTTGGTATTAAAACGTTACTTTTCCATGTTAGAAACATTTAGATGCGTTATAATCTTTTTAAAGACGCTCGTTAATACCACTATAATGCCGATCTCTGATTACGGTAATAAAATAACACTTAACGCATAACTATGAAAAAGACATGCAGATTAACAAATTTAGTTATAGATAGTCACCTGCAATATGGACACCCTCCTTCAATTTTGTTTCAAAAATCATCATAGAGCCGCGGCGACTTGAAGTACGTGAGCTTGCCTAATACAAAAGTTTACTTTATTGAAATTATTTCATTCTTTTTAGAGCGTTTGAAGTCGGTTGTATTTTTTTACAAAAATAAATTATTATATGCCCATTTTATACACTGTTTAAGTCTACATAGTTCTGAAGCACAGTTTGAAGCTCTAACTGTGCTACAAAACTATGTTTGCTTAAACAATGTACCTTCAGCTGTTAAGTTTTAAAACGTACTTTTTTAGTATAATCCAAGATATGTAGATAGTAGATGTAGGTTTCCTACAATATATTCAGATGAGGTTGTTTCATCACTTCATTTTTTATTTTTAACGACAACTTTAAATACCTATAAGATGAACCTTTTGAATATTGGGAATGTAATTATTGAAGCTAAAAAACAAAAATAAAGTTATAAAATATTTATTGTTTTCCATTAATAATAATGATAATAATATAATGTTTCAGTGGATGTCTCTGCATAAAACTAGTTTTTGATGCTTTTATAAGGCATTATTATTCTTTAATTAATAATAGTATACTTCTTGTATTGTAATCACACTGTATAGTAGTGTTTAATAGCTGTATTTTTTTTTTGCAGTGTCTGATAGAATGTTTATTGAGAATGCAGGGAATTGTAAGTATTTGTATTTAAACACTAAAGAGAGTAATATTTATACGCTATTTATCATGAAAGCAATAGACTAAGCTCAAATTAAATAAATAACAGTAAAATTAAGTAAAAACTAGCATAACGTTAAGTAAAAATATTTTTATTAGACCAGATATTTTTTATAGACCAGATAAAAAATTTCATGAAGCAAAATTCATACAAAATAAAGTGTACTTTACTTTAGCTGCCAACATTTCCAGACACTACTTTTTTGGGCATTTCGGAAATACCTGATTTTGAAACAATAAAAATTCTCGATACAAATTTAGTTCTTATTGTGAGTAGGTTATTTTCTCATTTCATAAAAAAATGGTGCACTTGGCAGTTGTTTTGATCTCCTACTATTTATATATAAAGCTAGCATGGATTTGAACTTTTGTGAGCCGCACACCAGCTCTCAATCGCATACTTATTAAAGGTCTTGCTGTGAAACTTTCCCGAAAACTTTTTTGATAAGCCTCAGGAAGCTACAGCTGGGTAATTAATTCAGGTAAGAAAATGAAGTAAGACATGATGTCATAATTATTCATATAGAATGTTAATAGCTTACGCTCTGTTCTAAAATACATTTAATACAAATAATAGTATTGCATGGATTAAGATAAACCACGCCCTGAATTGTAAAAAAAAGTGTTATTAGAATATTTAAGTCTAAAGCTATGTTCATTCCTTTATACATTGTTGTTTGTGGTTTTAGTACGATACAGATGGAGTATACCACGAAGATGGTACAAAAAAGTTGTTAGAAGAGTATTTTGAGGAAAGTCCAGAAAACGTGGAAAAGGTTTTGAGAATAACCACAGAATGCAGCAAGATTGGTAAAACTGTAGTAAATTCGTTTTGTCAGTTGCACCTTAAGAATAATATTTATTCCGCACTAAAATAATACATTTATTAAAATTATTTTTAACTATCAGAGTACCCGTCCTTCGTACGGGGTTGGCATATATGTATAAAATGCTTATTGCAGTTATGGGAGAGGACACGGTTTCAGAAAACTGGTCTTTTAATTAATACGGTATCCTATAGTGTAGCACACATCTACCATAGCCCTAATGTTCTACCCCTGCACCTAAACCATAGAAAACAGTATGGTACTCATTGTGTGACACCGCTTTTTGTTGCTAGTTGGTTCAAATTAGCTAAAAAACACAATAGAGCTGCACACTGTTGGTAAGCCTTATAACTTTTCAATGCTATTTAATATCATAGAACCAACTTGTGCAGTTGGAACGGCTGACAAAATTCTTTAATTCCTTTACATACTCATAAGGTTAACATGAGAAACTCCAGAGTAACTGTGGCGGAGCCCGAAAGGATTTTTGAGGTAAGAATATGTCTATATGTTAATCGGGAATGTCAACTATCATCATACCAAATTTAAACCTCGTCGGTTTAGTATTTTTTTGCGTTTACTTGTCACATCCATCCATCCATCTTTCCATCCACACATTCATCCATACATCCATATATCCAATTATAAGTTAAATTATTACTTGTTGTGTCGTTTGAGATTTTAGTTACAGTTAGTGTGTATCAATCCACTGCAATATTACAAGTAAATTTTTAGATGATAACTTATTTATAAAACATATTTTATACTGCATCAGTTATTCAATCGGTTTATAATCGGGTGTCTCAATATTTACATCATTGATTAGCCTGTATGTTAATGAACAAACGAATTATACCAAATTTAAGAATGAAATACATACGCCATACAGCAAAAAAATTATACAAAGCGAGAACTAACTGTCAAAGTAGGATTGTTTACAGTTATGTTTATGTTTTTATTTTAATGAATAATTTGTGATATTTTACGAATTTTTGATAATTTATTTTTCTTTATTGTTTAGGTGAAGTGGAAGAACATTATGGCTATGATAGATGTGTAATACTATAGAATACTGTAAATTCTGTACCGTTGGTAGTTAGTTCAAATTGAAATTAACAAAAAACAAAATCATATTATTTAACCATTGGCTAGATTAAGATTAAGAAAGAGTGTCCAGCAGTTTAAGAGATTTAGTTTGTAGGGTTGGTAGTGGTGATTGATAACCCATTTCAAGTTTTGTCAGTTAAGTTCACTGGAAATTTGGTCTACAAATATGTGGTTGCTGTAGAAATTGTAAGTAGATTTAATATTGTTTAAAAATAAGATTTTAGGAGATTTATTGTATACTGCATTTGTAGAAATCATTTTTGGGAAAAGATGTAAAGTAAAGAAAAGTTTTCAAATCAATTTTTAATGCATTTTACAAGAAAAGATAACAAGTAAAGTTTATACAGACCTGTCGAGTTTTGTTCTAGAAGAAGCACATTTTCACAAGGAGTTGTAAGGATCTTAAATCCACTTTTAATTATTAGAATTTGTAGAGAATAGTTTTTATTGGGTTTGTGTGATGTTTTCAGACAGAAATCAACCACATTGATATTGAGATTGACTTCTTGTTCACCTTCTTATGATTGGTCCAGTAGCTTTTGCACCACTTCTAGTTGCTTTGCATGGTATCTGCTAGTGCCAGTTCTGACCATTAAACCAGTGTCTCTGATTAAAGTAAGATCTTTCCACTATTTTATTATTTAGTACAAGATTTGGGAGTAATAAGACCAAAATGGATTTTATTTGGAAAGTGTATTTGGTGTAATTTGAGAACCGTAAAATATATATGTATTTGGCCTACCTTGTCTTTTAATTTATCTCACTTCTACTACCAGCTTGAATTAGATTCATCCTAAATTGAAGTATACTACCTAATTGGCTCCATGGTAGGGGTATAATTTAAAGAAGCAAATGTTATCAAACTGTGTCCTCCCTCATTGCAAACGCAAAGCTTGAGTATAACTGCAATAAGCATTTTATACTTATATGCCAACCCCGTACGAAGGACGGGTACTCTGCTAGTACATACATATTTCAATTTACTTGAAGTCAATTATGATATGTTCAAATGGAATTTGTTAACAATCACACAAAGATTAATAAATTTTCTACACTTTCACTTTACATTTCTTTATTGATACATTCAAATCATAATATTTGCTTTAAAAAAAAGAGAAAAATGTAAAAATTTTGTTTGTTATATTCATGCATCAATTGGACCTAGCCGACAACTTTTTTTAACTTGGTGAGGCCAAGCTGTTGTAATTTCTTCCATAAATATATTTGAATTTGAAAATGGCACATTTACAGATACGACTGGACTGAACAAATGCGAGGCTGCAGTGAAACATGTGGCATGTAGCAGGAAAAAATGTGCACAGGTAAGTGAACTCATACAGCATTTAGTAAACATATGAATATCTTATAAAATCCATATGTACAATATTTTCATAAACATGCTTGATACTGACTTCCGGTTTAAAGTGGAATTACAAAATATGGGTTTTGGATGTAATGCCTCGGATTGAGCGTTCTAGAGTTGTTTTTCTGTAGGAGATGGACAATCTGTCTCAGGTTTAGGATTGACCTAAATTTTTGCTTACCTGTTTTGCTTGAGTTTTTTGCCCAAGGATCACAGGACGAAAGTCCAACCTATTCCTGGGACTGAAGTCCAACTCTTTAAAATCAGTTTAAACAACTTAGCTGCGTTTAAGAGTTTTAAATGTTATTTTGTTTGGTTATGTCAGGTTTGAACCCCAAACTATAACAAGAAGGTTATGCCTTAAGGTGTGATTTTCTGCCGAAGTTCGAGCTACAATTTAAATATTCAGTTTGCTTCATATTTTCCTTCTTAAAGCGTTGGTCAAACAGTCCCAATGCTAAATGTGGATTAGTGCTTGGACTGGTTGTCCAACGCAGCCAACATAATTTACGATGGACAGTACACCCTAGGGTTCTACAAATATTTTGTTGGCCTATCTACTCACTGACTGGGTGTGTAGTAGCACAGAATGATTCTATATTCTGTAGTAGTAGGGACAGTGTCCTGTTAACTATTTATGTTCAGAAGTGTAAAACTTGTTTCCGTCTGATACATACAAGATTAGTGTAACGACGGATTTTAATTGAATTTCATTCATTTCAGAGTAACTAGTAAGGCATTGGCCTTTTGTTAGTTCTTGGGACGAATACTAATACGAAATTATATTTTTGTTTATTTAATTGTAAGTGTCCAGTAAAAATGCCTTATAAAGTACGAGAAAAGTTTAAATTCACTTTAGAACCTATTTTTACCATCAAAAGATTTATGGACGAATTAATTATTTTATTTGACCTAAGATAAGAATATTACAAAGAAAGTTTTAGCGAATTTCCCTATAGGGAAGTAGCTATTACCGTAGGTCTCATGGTAAGACCTAGGCCCGGGACCGATTTACTTTTTCATTTTGATGTCCCCAGAGGCCAAAAACACCATTCGTTCAAATTTTTATATATGTATATATATATATATATATATATATATATATATATATTACTAAGTAAATCAAAATACCACAGTACCCTAAAAACATTTTATTTTATATTACTTACATGTTTCGGACATTATTGCCATGATCACAGTATAGTATATAACCTATTAGTTTCTTTTATTTACAAACATTATTAGATATTTCTTGTTAAAGAACAGGTGATAATTTTTTATGTTAAGGGAAGGAGGTGTTTTCTTTAAGATTTATAATTTCATTGAATATTACGTTTTGATTTTGAATTTGTGTCAAGTTTAGTAAATTGTCTTTGTCATTAATATGATGAGTATAAATATATAAGTCTTCTTTTGTATTCATTTTTTCACCTTTATTTTCAATATCCAGAATGTGCATATTTTTATTCATTTCTGAGTATGTATGGTCGGTCTGAAGTATATGTTCGGCGTATGAAGAACGACATATTGTTTGATCTGATTGCCTGTATATGCTCTTTGTACCTGACTTCGAATGTTCGACCTGTTTGACCAATATAGTATTTCTCACAGTTGTTGCATGATAATTTTTAAATTCCCGATTTCTTATATACATTTGGGGGGTTGGGTCTCGGATTTGTTCTTTTTTGAATTATATTAAAAGCGTTATCCCTTGTTTTAAAACTTAGTTTAAATTTTGAGTTTGGTAATGTCTTTCTTAAGGTTTTGTTTAAGGATGAGCTGAATGGAATACATATAAATTCTTTCTTTATGTTTTCTTGTTCTTCTACTTTCATTCTTTTCGTTTTTTCATTTTTTATTAATGTTTCAATCATTTTTTCTTTGTATCCATTTGTTCCTGCAATTCTTTTTATAGTTTTCTTTTCTATTTCAAAGTTGTCTTTAGACATTGGTATGTTAAGTAGTCTAAATACCATTGATTTGAATGTAGAAATTTTGTGTTGCCAAGGATGGTTTGACCCAAATGGAATGATTAGGGCAGTTTGGGTAGGTTTCCTAAATATATTGAAATTATGTTGATTGTTTTCTTTGGTAATTGTTATGTCCAAGAAATTTATCTTCTTTTCTCGTGTCTCCATCGTAAATTTAATTGTTGGGGAGATAGAATTTAAATATTTCAAAAAATCTTGAAATGAGTCTTTATTGCCGTTTACTTTACCGTTTATTTTGATTTACTTAGTAACATTTAAAGTAGCCCTCATTGATGTATTTAATAACAATATATATATATATATATATATGTGTCCATCCGCACGATAACTTGAGTAATTTTTGTCCGATTTTGATCAAATTTGGTATGAAGGTGTAAGGCGGGATAAACTTGAACGAGTTCACGAACCAGCATGATCGGACTTTGAGAACGGGGGTTTACGGGGGTTTTATGGGGTAAAATAGGTTTTTCCCATTTTTTACCCAAAAAAACATAAAATTTAGCAATTTCTTTCCAAACCATTTTGTAGAGCTTAAAAAAACAAATAATTTAGTATATTGAAGTGTTATTATGCGCCTAATGGTTAAGGAGAAAATTCAAAAAAATTTAAATTTTAAATTCCCATGTTATTCTTATTGAGAACAAGTAAACTGTTGTAGTTTGCTTGTTTATGAACACATTTTGATCAAATTTGGAAAATGTTTTTATTTATTACTATTAACATTTTACAAAAAAAAGTTTTACCCTCCCTGATGCAGCAAACCTAAGTACTTGATAAACTAATTCTATTTAAATAGGAAATAAATGTTATATTTTTAAGTAGACATTTTAGTGTAAATCTAATCAGGCAAATGGAAATTCGCTTAGTCTGCAGGTTTGCTGTGGCGGGGGTATTTTTTTTATCTAAAATTCAACACTTAACTTAAAATATAGCCTTATTGTACTGTATAAATTCGTAAATGTATACATAAACATAGAACCAGAAATTGACATACTTTACGAGGATAGCATTTAGCTTGACACTGAATAACAATTGGCTAATCGCATTGAAAAACCTTTTGATTTGTTAAGTTATTTTGTAGACAAAGAAATTAATATACACTGCGAAAACAAAATTTAATTTTCTTATTTTAATTCTTTAAATACTCTTTGGCACACTTTTCAAAGTATTGATGTGAATGTGTTTGGCAATTTACAACATTCACTTAACCTATGTTGAATTGGTAAAATAAATAATAATAATGAACTATTATTAACACTGGATTTAATAAACCCGTTTTGTTTATGTTTCAGGAAAGCATTGTTGTCATCAAAGAAAGGTCATGAAAATGTTCAGTTGATGATGTGGTCAGTTTCGTAGTTTAAAGATTCGAAAATAAATAAATGTTAGACAGTTTAACTGAATATATTTCAATCCTCAAACCGTGTTTTATCACAAAATTAATGTGTTAATCAAAGGTTACGTCCAAGTTAAAATCATAAAAAAAATCTATTTAGGCCTATTGTTATTTGAAATTGAAATTTAAGTGCTGTGCATACATAAATTCACAAAGGATGAACATATACCATGCTGAGTTGTCCTTAAGCAACATACAAACTAAAAGTTCAACTATTCAACGTTAAACATTTATATATCAATCAATTAAATTTAGACAGCGAAATGTTGACGCAGGTTGTTTCATAGAAAATCATTTAGGGGAGAGTCGAACAAAAGAGGGAGCTAGTTGTACAACCAATAGGATCCGCTGACATCTCAGAAGAGTGAACATGATCAAGTTAATGTAAACCATTGTATAGTATACTTTTACCTACGACAGTTTGTTAAACTAGCCGTTTCAGTCCAGTTAGAATTGAAAATATTCACTTAACAGCATTGTTTACTTCCTTAACAGCATTGTCTTTTTTTACTTAACAACACGGGTAACGGACCAATGAGGTTCAAGGATTCAGTAAAGAAGTAAAATTGTAATGCTTCGAACTCATCAGCTGTTCATGCAAATTTAATTGTTGAGTGGTTCAATTAGTGTTTGGTACAATGATTCGTTGCATCACTGTCGGTGGCAATGAGAGGTTATAAATGAAAACATAACCTGTCATAGAAGTTATGAGTAGTGATTTTAGTAATTAAAACACTGTCGTAGGTAAAGTAGTGTACGCAACTCGCGTAAATAGTCTTAACAACTCTCGTAGAAGTTTTAAAGCTCGTACCTTAACACTGTCTTTACGCGATCGTTGCGTAAACTACTATAACGACACTTGTAGAAGTTTTCAAGGCTCGTACCTTAAATTTCTACTCGTGTCGTCAACCCTATCTTTACGCGAACTACTATAGAATCACTAGAAATGCAGAACACCCTTTCACACCACAAATGAACGTAACATTTCCAAAAGCCGCAACGCGAGGATAACGACCTCTGCCTGGAAGGAGTTCAGATCCTCCCACGAACTGGTCCTACCACACGATCTGTCAGCTCAAGACGGATCGACCCGCGCCACTGGGTGTTGTTGACCCGCGGACCACAGGATTGTTTTTCTAATGTATCAGCGATCAACGAACCTAACCAGACCTCGAGGCTTCGGTATTAATCACATCAGCAGCTGCGAATTGCAACGCGAATGCAGACTCCGGCGTGTAGCTTGGTGTGTCTAATAGCTTTTAATTTTAGCAATATTTTGTTTTCCTACAGTCACATGACAAAGTGGACTTCCTTGCACTGATTATAGCACAGAAAGTTGCTAATTGCTGCATCTACTTTGCCACACACTTTTTACTTTTGTAGCACAGTTTTTCTTTTTTTGCCGCACACCAGTATTGAAACAAAACCACTCAAAACAGCGTGCTTTTATTAGGCACATAATACGTGTACGCTTTAAAATAAGTTGGCAACACGACAGTTGGCAAATGCAAGTTGGCAACAGGTATTACGACTACGATCAGCTTGTGCAGCGCTTCCCATTTCGTTCAATTTTTGGATTTAACCTAGCCTAAAAACGTGTTGTCAAAGTGCCACTTTGCACACTAGTTACAAAAATAACTATTCTCTACACGTAAAACATCTACTTAACATTGTCCTTTCGTTACATAGCATAAGTAATTAGTATAAGTAAATGGTATTTTGGTTCAGAATCGACCTTTGTTGGAATCGGACCAGCGACCTTCCGATTTGAAGGCGAGCACTGTAACACCACAGACAAGGGAATAGTCTTAGTCAATGGTAACACTTTGCTACACAGACAGTGAAATTCGAATCTCTTGTTATTGTTCAATACTCTAGTTCTTCTATGATTTTCTTTGGTTATCTGCCTTTACTTTAGCCTTTACAAATCTCAACTCTAGGTATTTACCTTTAGTTTTCAAACTTTGGACTCTGACTTTTTTTCGTCATTGTACTTCAACACTGAGCCTCTACACTAGACTTCAATTATCTTACTATGATTTTTATTTCGGTATTTTATTTGTTTACACAAATCAGAGTCTCTCTCCCTAGAAAATAATGTCAAGTATCTTGAATTTAATCTCCAAACTTTTACCTAATTTCTAGTATCTAGTGTATGGTACCTTTCTCTTGTTACTACAATTAATACTATAATCTCTAGTCTCTACTTAAGTAGGTTGAAAAACTGGTTGTTAATCATACCCAATTATTACTTTCCTTCACTTTTCACATTAAATTAGTTGAATCAATACAAAATATACTTGTTGAACTAGCTTCAAATATGAACCATCGCTGAATATTACCTTTCTAGGTATGACTTTTTAAAAGTCAGACTTTTCCCTATAAAGCAAGGTATACCCATAATTTAACCCTTATTATTTAGGTTTGATACAACACGGGAATATGCCTATAGTATTTTATTCAGACATAAAAGCGTCTATGTATCCACTCTAAATATAATATGCATTAGAGGTTGTGATATATTTACAATATAAACTAAAAAAAGGTTACGACCACTTAAAAATAGGAAAATATGTTTATTGATTGATGACGGATAAAAAAATAATTAACTAGTTTATTTGTCAATGTATGTAATTACCTACATGTAAAAAAGTAAATATATTGTCAGCATTCTGTGTCCATACATTTAGGAAACAATTATTTCTGAAAAAGATTCTGATTCTGATGACCAGATGAGTAGAACACCACAATTCGTCCAAGGAAAACATAAGATAACGCACTATCGATCCATTGTGATTTCTATCCGATTATGCTAGTGTAATAACCACAAAACGTTGTATATATGTTGTATCTACGCTATAGTCATTGTCATAACTTTGTAAGAGAACGGTCCAAGCCCAGGTTTTTTATTGCTAACATCATTAATTGAAAGCCTGTTACATCCATTATTTGGATCTAAATTTGATCCTGTGGACATCGAACCAGGAATTTTCAGATTTGAATGCAACCCAAGTAAATATTCAAAAGTAATTGCTTATAAGAAAAACTATTTTTAACCTAACTCATTCTATCTCACCGGTGATACAGAGCCTATCTTAAGCTGTAGACATCCATCAAGTAACACGATATCAATCCAGAACAACCCCTTATCCCCCCTCCTGGGAGGAGACTCTAGGGCTCTGCCCCCCTGGCCTTGACCGTGGCCCAGGTATATAACAGGGGACTCTTGGTTGCTCTTCAGTTGCTGACCCTCTACTTCCTAGACCTCAACATGTACCGTCTCTCTCTCGCCGTCTTCTGTGTAGTCCTCGCCATTGCGCAGGTCAGTCATAATATTCATGCAACATGGTGTAGTCTTTATTTTGGTTTTTACTTTGGTTCTTATTTTTTGTGATCAATAGTTTTACAACCGCCAGCCCTTTTATTCTTGAAAACAATATCCATCTCTTAAGAGTCTTCCTTAGTGGAAGCCATGTTGGATTTCTTCCCCATAAGAACAATGTTAAACATTACATCATTTGTGGACACGTAACGGCGTTATTTGTTAAGATATAGCTTTGAAATTTATAATTTGTATTTTTAACATAATAGACTCGTGACTGAGGTTTTTGAATTTCGAAAATCCATTTTCATTTCCTTTCAATAATTAGCTTAATTTTAAGCTAATTAATAACCAATTATTCATTATAAAAATTAAAAATTGTGAAATAAAAAACGTCAATCTCTAGAGGACCGCAATTCCTTAAATTTAACTCCTTATCCATAATTATATGACAATTTGCTGATGAGATATTTGGACCCAAAGTTAACATTGTTCTTATGGGGAAGAAATCCAACATGGCTTCCACTATGGAAGACTCTTAAGTTTAAAGTCAAAACTTTAATTTTCACCAGAATGTACCTATAGAGTGATTATGGATTATTTCAATATATCTTTTGTATTTATTTATTTCATGACTTACATAGAATATTATTTTAAAGAAAGCTATTAAGTCTTTTATTATGTTTTCTAATCGTAGTATAGCTAATACTTGTTGGACAATTTTAAGGAGGTTAATATAGTTTTTTATTCATCATCTAAAGTAATTAATGGTTGATGATAAAACATGGCTAATTAAAATTATTCAATTACAATTAGTGTGCTTACTGCCCTTTTTAGTTCGTGTCCTGACAGATTTTATTAATTTAGATTGATAAATGTATAAATTTTAACAGGAAAATCAACCGAATTAGTTAATTAACATAACGATTCCTCAAGAAATTGGTTTTAATATTTTTTTTAACACCTGGAAACCGACTACGTTAATAATATAGTTGTAAAACATATGTAATATATTCATTACCTATTTGCACTTCTATTACTGTTTTAAGGGACTTTAAATATTGGTGGAAAATGTAATTTAATTTATTCTCAAACATTTTCAGGCAAAGATCGACAAGGAACAGGCGAAGGCCAACTACGAAAAATGCAAGGAAGAAACTGGAGCAACGGAGAGTGAGTTAATCTTAATAATATATATGTTAAAAAAGTTGCAAAATAATAAAATCAAAATGAATCTGTATTACAAACAATAAAAATATTTTACTTGCATTTAATATGCTAGCAGCTGTACTTGTACTTTGCTTCGCCAATAAGTGAAAAAGATAATAACTAAATAATTCTTAACTGTCGAAATATTACACTGTTCTTATATGCTGAAACCTCGTATCATTGCAATCGTAACGGTTTTAATAGTTAAGTTTAACAAGTTTTCATTAGTTAAAATATAAAAGAGCTCCTACACTGTATTTGACATGTAAGGAGAGAATTTTGACATTTAGAAAAATTTATGATTATATGACTTAATGATGACTAAGGGTGGAATTAGAAGGCGGAGTGGAGTAAAATAATGCAATACTCATCTGTTAGCATTTATAAGGTTTCCTGTAATATTTTACGCGAATCAGTCAAATGGTATTTCCGCTGTGTAGTAAAAAGATTATCAACATCGGGACATCGACAACTACTACTTTCTGCAATATCTAAATAATTATTAATTCTAGCATGAAGAGTGACGCGACACGATTGTTTATAATTTGTGGCCTTGAAGCTTATATTGATTTAGGTGAAGCTAATAAATTTGCTCAACCCTTGGAAAACACATTTAAAAAAGGAATGTGTTAAACAAATATTAAAAAATAACTTATAGTCTGTGGAAATAATCCATCATACAGAGATTATTTAATATTTACGCTTTAATTGTTTTGGAACATATTTTCGTATCAAATTTTGCACAGAAGTTTCATTTATTTTACTCGACGTTTAACTTGGTTTTATTTACAGCCTATGATGAAATCTTCAAGGAGAAGAAGATCCCCACGAGTGACAAGGGAATGGTAAGTTCTAGTGGAATCTTATAGACTTTATTTAGTAAAAATAATGTTTGTATCTCTTTTTTTATTTACAAAAAAGTGTTATTTGACGAAAATGTGTATGAATATGACACTAATAGGTGTTTTCAAGCTTAAAACTACGCATGTTTATTTGTTACGGCTTTAAACATTATCTCCAGGAAACAAATTATTTAAAAAATCAACTATGCAATTTTTGGCAGACGTACTCAGTTTAATGGTTATGTGATAATATTAAAGTTCAAAGTTGAAAATTAGGCTTTCAAACTGAAACTGCGAGTTTCTTGTTTAGTTTAATATTTTGATTTATTTTGAACTGAGCTAAAATAGTTTACAGTTTGGAAATTGATTAAAATATTAAATGCCATCCGGATATACTGTCAGTCCCTCTCATACGTTTACAGTATATCAGTTCCAATTAATTTTTTTTATTAATTGCATTTAAAGGTCATAAGTATGTAAATAAATATGTGTTTATATGACTATCAAGTTTCTTGCTAAATTCTAATGAACGTTTTGTGTTATGTTGCAGTGCCTGGTTGAATGTCTATTGAAGAAAAGGGAAATTGTAAGTATTTATTTATTGATATTAAGACAATTTATTCACATTCAACTAAATGATCCAACAAAACCTATTGAGTGCAAAGTTTACAAAGGCATCCAATACAAAAATCAGGCGTACTAAATAATAATAATAAAAATATTAGTTATCTGTTATGTGTAGATTATTTCTTATTATTAAACTTCTAAACAATTTTACCCCCTTTTAACTATACAAATCACAACAATTTTACACACTATTGATCAAAAACTGGTGAAATTTACAAACAAATTATTATAAATATTATGATTTGCTTAAAATTGCCTATCTTGGGAGGGAAACAAATTGAGTTTTCACACAATGTTTTTGATTATTGTCTGAAAAATGTTTTTTGTACACCATGTATTTTTACTATCAAATTTTAACATTTCCTAATGCAAAAGCTGGTTAGACTTTACCATCAATCCTGTATTTGAATCATATGTTTCTAATTATTAAAATGTTTTTGTTTTTACTTTAAAATGTAAATGCAATTTGAGTTAAGTGAGTAAATCAATGTGAAAACCAAGTCCACTTTTTCTGAGTTAATATCTATAATTTCTTTAAAAGCAACATATTTCTTAACAATTTTAGTTTTTCCTTCAATAGGCTTACACAAAATTAGTGGAATATGCAACTTAGTCCATGTATTGGTCCCTACTAAAGTAAGCGATGAATTTCTTTCGGTTTTTGTTATAGACATTTTATTTTAACTTAAATAATTATTGTCTAGTTTGCTAGTAATCGTTTTTGTTTCTCTTAGTCAAAATATATTAGAATAGTATTTGTGTTTTATTTACTTTTTTTTGTAAATTCTTTATTTAGGAAATTATTATTTGTTTACTCATGTTAAATCAATTTGCTACAAATTCCTTTAGTAAACCCTATATTCATCTTATTTTAATGCTTTAGTTTATGATACAGTTAGTTACACAAAATGTCTGTATGGTGTATGAAACACGAGCAGCTTAAAAACAATGTAAAATACAAATTTAACCTTCCATAGCTTATTACAATTTAGCTTTGACAACATAAATTCTGTTTAACGACCTACACACTGTTAAATTTTTTGTACCTGATTTTACTAATTTGCTACATAATACAGTGTAATAATTTTTTTGTTGTGGACAGTATGACAGCGAGGGCAAATACAATCCTGAGGGAGCCAAGAAATACTTCAGCAAGGTTTTTGAAGAGAAGCCCGAGAACATCGAGAAGTCTCTAGCCATTGCTGAGGAATGCAGCAAGATCGGTGAGTGAAAAGTCCAATCACATATCCGATAATTCTCTCCTCGTGAAACTATATTCAAATATTGATACAATTACCTGGATTTATAATTGGGCTTGATTTGCAAGCCTTTGAACTCTAACTTTTAAATACTCTACCGCAAATTACCTATTGCATTCTTATGTTCTGAGTGAGCCACATAATAGAGTTTTATGTCTTTTAAAGTTTTAATCGTGGTTAACTCGAAGAGATACTTTGTATACTCTTCGACACCGTATTTCTCATACTATCACAGCACGGAATGCTAATGAGATTATACAACTTCAAGTCGTTCATGAGAAGATCTTTGAGCTATTATAGTTTTGTATTTGAATAAATATTATCAACTAAAAGAAGACATATGGGATGTATGAAATGAAAATTTGAGCCATTATGATACTCTTTTACAAAAGGTTTGTTGTTGTTGTTAATGGATCAGCTGGAGACAAAAGGTGAAGGTTGAGGTCGAGCTACCGCTGAGTAAAACAAATATACATCGTCTCTTGTCGTACATACAATACCATAGTGTACATACAATACAATACATAGGCCTACAATACACAAATACACAAGTGAGGAGGTTGAGGTCGAGCTACCGCTGAGTAAAACAAATATACATCGTCTCTTGTCGTACATACAATACAATACTATACAATTCATACAATAGGTACACAAATACACAAGTGATGAGGTTTGCGGAGATTTTGTTTTGTTTGCAGTGTACCACGAATGCTAGAAAAGATACGGCGTAAATCATAAACAAATCAATCATGTTACTGGCCATAAAGTAAACATTATTTTAACATTGCTTAAATAATGGAACTGTCTGCCATATGTTAATATTATTAGTACAGGATTTGGGCCAGTTACGTCATTTGTTTATGTTAATGATCCATACAGTGTCTGTTCTAGTATTCGTGCAGTGTAAATAGTGGTCTAGCGCGGGGCACCATAAAAACATTTAATCAACATTGTAAACTTAAGCGTGATTGGGCATTCAAGCAAGATTAAAATTGTATACCATGATAAGAACTTCATTTATATCCTAAGTAGCCAATGACACAGAACCATGTTCTACACTAAGGAATAACATGACATGAACATGAATATTCGTCCATTGAAAATTCAAAGTGTATAAGTAGGCCTACGTGAGAGTCGAAGCGTTTTTCTTTAATTGTAAATTTGATTATTTTCAGATGTTGAAGGACTGGACAAATGCGAAGCTGCAGTCAAACACCTGACCTGTGCCAAGACAAAGGCTTCTCAGGTATGTGTTTCTGTATTTTGTAGTTAACGAATCTATATTGAAGCTCTGATAAAAATATATCTTTTTACGAAGTAGCGAGTCTTGTTGATATAATGTCGGTTTATATGCATTTAGTAACCAAGCTTGAGATTACTTTACATAGTTGGAGTAGATAAACTTGTTACCATTATACAATCTGACTTTGGAATCCACAATAAACGTTTTTCAGTTCAAATGCTTTTATAAGTAAAACATAATTTAGTTTTTACGTTTTCCTTAATCATAATTTCAGCCTCTTCAACGTTGGTGCACTGTTTAAATTGAAGGGGAAAGAGAATTTGACACCTAATGTATTACATTAGTGCAAATTGTATCTTCAAATTCAAATGTAGTGATTCGATAACGTTATGGGTCGGCGATTCCATTGGGATAACGGGTTTCGAATATTCTCTTACACAAAACTAAAATAAATATCACTAGTGTTGTTTGAATGAAAATATAAAATGATTATAAAGCTACTTTAAAGTTCTCTCATACTTAATAAATTATTTATTTTCAGCAAAACATCAAATATGAAACTGACTGAGGAGAGCATCAAGAATGAAACTTCATCGAAGGTTGTCCTGATGAAACTACTTAAGAATAAGTATACGTTAGATGTAGGTGTTGTTTATTTTTAAATTAAATTGTGATAATAAATGTTTTCATTATTGCCTACATTTTATGACCATTACTTTAAACCCTGATGAACCAAAACACACAAAGATTAAATTCCTGATGCCTTATTTCTTTGGTTAAACCTTGACACTGTAATGGTATATTCAAAGATAAAACTTTGCCACCATTATTTACAACAGATTTTTATAACAGTATTTTTGCACAGGTACACTAATAAAAAATCGTACAAACTAAAGGACAAATAGTTAATATTTACTAAATAAGAGCAGCCTTAAATTACAATAGGTAGTTAAGTCCAATTTAAAATCATACGTGTCATCTACTTTAATTTTTTGAAGACAAATAACAACAATTTAAGGAACGAAGGAGATATTTTGAAACAAATTTTACCTACAACTGTTTTTTTAAAGTAGCCGTTTCAGTTCAGTTCTTTGAAAAGTTTCACATAAAAGCATCGTTTACTTCAATGACAGCATAGTTTTACTCATAACAAAACGGATAACGGACCAATAAGGTTCAAGGATTGAGAGAGAAGAAGTAAAATTGTATTGATTCGAAATGCAACTAATCAGCTATTCAGGCCAATTTAATTGTTGAGTGGAGCAATTAGTGTTTGGTACAATGATTCGTTGCATCAATCTCAGTGGCAATGAGAGGTTATAAACGAAAACATAACTTCTCTTAAGAGTTATGAGTAGTGATATTTAGTAATAAAAACCCTGTCGTAGGTAAAGTAGTACACGCAACTAGTGTTAACGAAAAATAAATAGTGTTAACGACACTATCTTTACACAATCTTTGCTGGTTACTAAGTTCAACTTAGGTAACTAATGTACTAACTATATACACTTTTAGTCAAACTATATTGTTATTGGTTTGGTGAAAAATTAAATTGATATACGGTACTTCCTAGACTTTTTTTCCCCGATTGGAGTATCGAATAAATTTCCGTGGAAACTATACACTTTTTGAATATAAGGATTCATAGTCAATGATATAGGTAAAAGATGGCTATATTTGTTTTGCTTAAAACGTGGAACCACCAGCTCATTTTATTATCAAACAGCTAAAATCCATTCGTGATTTGTGGAATTTGTTAACTACTAGACCAGCATTGGTCTAATAGTTAACAAGAATCCCTATCTTTGATTAATCGAAAAAAATTTCTATTGCAAAAATCAAAATACCTGTCTGTAATCATTATGATATTGTAAATATCATAGACGAATAAACCATATCATGAGGTTTATCCATGCCTCTTCAAAGTCGGCTGTGCTTTGAACCAGAAAACACTTTTTGACTTAAAGCTTTATCTATCGAGAATATGTAATAAATGTCTATTTCAGTTGGTTAATAGTTTGAGAAACATTAGATGAATGGGTTGGGTTCCAAACCACTACACATTTGGCATATTTTGAAAAATATTTTCCACTTAAACAAACATATATAATCTTTTATATTACTTTGTAAACTTTAATTCCTGCACATCACGCAGTACAAGATATTCGAACTTCTCAACCATGCATAATATCGAAGTATATGTTTAACTGTAATTGTAAATTTTTGTGTAAATGTTAAATCTGTTGATAAATATCATACATAAAAAGTGTTTGGAACAAGTGAAGTTACATTCGTTGAGCTATTGTTTCTAGTTTTTCACTTTCTTTGTACTTCCAGTTTTGTTAACTGCAAAACTAAGAAAAAGATTTACATCTTGGCTTTTTTGTCAAAAAGTTGTATAAAAGTCTAAAAGTACCAACATCTTGAATGTTTGTAATCAGTGATTATTTATGAAGAGTCACTCAGTAAGTTAACCAGCACGTAACAGAAGAATCTATTGTTTAGTAATTCAGCTTAACTATTTTAACTCATCTACAAATTTAGAGCGTAATGGAACAATAGAAATAACAAATATTTTTGGGTGGATTCGTTACTGCTGTGAACGACATTATGTCACCACTAAACATAGTGCATTAGGAGACAGGAAACTACCGAGGACAGCACAACAATTATTAGGCAACATTGACATTATCAGTGATCTCTCTCTGACTATCAGCAGACTACAAATTAAACTAACACACAGCAATGTAAACCTGGGTATATGAAAACTACTAATATGTACATAATGTTTGCCAACATAGCTGATCAACTGTAGGCCTATAATTACTGTGGCCAAACACGATTGAAGAAGTTAACTGAAGAATGGCTAAACGTTTATTTTTAATGCAAAGTTACCTTGTAAAAATGCTAAAAAGATAACCTTCTATACACATAATACAATAAACGTTCTGTTTGTACCGTCCCTTTTCATTAGTACTATTTAACTAATTCTTACGATTGAGGTGTTAAAAGCATATGATCTTGCAGAAGAACTAAAGGTAATTAAAAAGGTATTTTACTTAAGGTTTCGACCCCCAAAACGTTAGGATATTTCTAGAGGGTATTTTCAGTGTTGGTGCTGCTAACCAACTTTCTTTAAAACATGTCTGCATGTGCATTATTGTAATTCAACTTAAACAGCTGATTACCTGCATTCACCTTTGAACCATACTAAAATGTGCAATTTGTACACGGACTCCCTCGTATATATTTGTAGGTATTTTACCATTTTTAACATGGCCCATGGTATTTTTATATTTTATATTCAACTCCTGGTCACAGCACTTCCAAAGTTGTTGGTATTTTTATGTTAGATTTAGATTAGGATTGTATGAAATTTGGTTGTACTGTAACTGAACTACTTGGTGCCATTGTACATCTTTAGAAAAGTTAGTATCCTTATATGTAATATGTGAAGGCAATTTCTACGAAACTTTACTCCTTTGTTAATAATGATCGGATTTTTACAAACGATGTGTCAAAATTAAGTATTTTTTGTCCCCCTTCAACCAATTCCTGTAATAAGAGTCCTCGGGCTTTGAGCCCACAGGTCATCAAAATCCCAATGTAGTATTTCTAATGAAGAAAGTATTCTGTTTACTTAAACATACGAATAATTTGTATTAATTGCATACTAAAACAGCTGTTCATAGTAACATAACACGTGGTACCGTTCGTTTTCAGTACGACTGTTATTCGTTTTGAAATAACGCCTGTAATACTTTGCAATTCCTCGAATTAGAGCAACAGGCCAGGCACACTAGTCTTTTTGATTGTTTGAAACTAGATTGAAAGTATAGATTTTAATATTCCCACTAAACCAAAACAAAGATGCTCCCCAGTTAACATATCTACTGTTCTACAATTTATGTTTTTAATTTTTGCTATTGTTTATAAAATAAAAGAAAAACTTGAAAGGTATTTCCTTTTTCAATTGACAACTTAAACTTTTAATTAGTTATTTTCATTGTGTTTAGTGAAAATGTAATTAGGATTTTTTTACACAAAAACATCTATCCAAAAATCTATTTAGCAAATCAAAATACATTATTCAGCCAACATTAACAATAGATGACATTAGCTATGTCATAAAACCAAAATAAAAATAATGTACACTTATTCAACAGTTCTAAAGCTAGTTATACACAAGTATTTAAAAATGCGCTATTTAAAAAAATATATTCCAAACAACCAGTTATAACCTCTTGAATGGATTTTTATCACAAAACAACTTTAACGATGGTTTATTACTCAAAAGTATGTTTTCTGACAATTCCATTACGTGCTATTACGGACATATTTGATTAGGCCTGCTCAGGTTAAAAAAAAATTATCCCACCTTTTACAATCGTTCCTTGAGTTCAAAGAAAATGTTTTATTTTAGGCTAATTATTATTTAATTACACTGATAACGGGCCTTTTTTTAACGATATCCTGATACTCTACTGCCTTAATTAGGGGTCCATGATTTATGATTTGGATTCAAGGCTGAGCGTGTTTTGATATATATCTGAGTGAAATGATACCAGTGACAATATTGTGTTTGGTTGGACGCCACCATGAAGTCATTTGCGTTTGTAGTACTTGTCGTCCTGTGTGTTTGGGCTACAAAATTAAATGTAAGTTTTGCAAAATTTACGATAAATAAGACAATGCATTTATTAATACATTTATCATACCATTAAGGAAAAATAACAAAGTGTCGCTAGATTTTATGTTAGTATTTTGGTTGTATACATTTTGCATCTTTAGCAGGGTATAAAATTTAGGTGTATATATCTTCCCATAAGAAAACCACTGGATTAATTAAGCTGAAAGTGCAAACAAAGATAGCTACTACCTGTAGCCTGAAGCCTATCTCCCAGGTCAATACAAACCTACAACTTAGGTCCTTTTGAGAGTTAATATTGATTGGTTTACATTGGTTGAACTTACTTACTATTGTTGTGTATTTATTAAATGTAAAAAAGTAAAGTACTGTGTTTATTGGTGTTGGTCAAAACGAATTAAGCAGAATAAGTGTAAAGGTATCTGGTACTTGTGTTATGGCAAATGTAAACGATCACAGAAAATATGTAAAATTCTAATAGTTATAAATTGAACTAATTTTTACTGACTCGAAGTAAGGCTCTGTTTTCCGGGCTTTCTGAGCTACCATATTGCTATAGGAGTTATTTCATTACAAGGTTTCAAATTTAAAAAATTTCCCAAGATGTACATAAAACAAGTCTCGTTTAAAAAGTATTCAAAATCAAAAAGACAAATTAAAAAATTATAAAATTATAGGGTTATACATGGGAAAAAGTGAATTATGTCCTGTGTTCAGTAAAACTTGTTTACGATTTCAGGCATTTGAGAACAAGGCCATGAAAGAAACTTTTGCTAAATGTGCTATGGAACAAAAATTGACAAAAGGTACGTTGAAGCATCTACAATTTTAATATCCACAATAACACGTTATGTTCGTATTTAAACTATTAAGGATCTTTTCTTTTACATTATCTTTTTTAAGAGTGTATTAAAAATTAAGCTCTTTGTTGGGCGAATGCAAGAAATGCTGAATTGGTCGGAAATTGTACACAAAGGTAAATCATGTGGGTTGCTGGGAAACCAGATCATGAAACCGGTAAATGAAAGAACAGTAGCCTATGTAAAAGTACTTTCCATATCTCCTTCAAGTTTCATCAGCTAAGCCCCATGGACGATTGCAATTTTTGGGGTGGAACTTTTGGTAGTAATTATAGTGTTAAATGGTTTATTTATCATATGGCAACTTAAAGAAAAGTCACAATATATATTTTGTTCTACTTTTATTTTATTAACTTTATTAAGTTGATTTTATCCTACCTTACTGCCTAATAAACTGGGATAATCAATATAAGTGAGAGGTGCAAATAGAGTTGTACAGGGTGAGTCAGTGAAACGGGCTATTTTCTTATAACGTTAGTGAGTAGAGGGGAAGAAGGAAAGGGGCCGAGTAAGTTACCCTGCGTTCCCAACCTCTGAAAGTTTAGTTGCTATACAGCTTTAGCGTTGGACCGGACCACAGCGGGGTTTTGCCGTCAAGGCATTTTATCAAAACAGTGAAAGTTCTGTGCGTATACCACATCGGGCCTCGCGCATTCATTTTGGTCTGCCCCCTCAAGTTCCATCGAGACATGCAATTCAGGGCTGAAACTTGGAAGAAACGGGTCAAACCACAAAAAGAAGAGGTGGGAGTACCAGAACTGTTCGGACACCCGAAACATTTGAATCAGTTAAACGATTGCCAGAAGTCCCTGTGGATCTGACCGACAGCTTAGAAAAGCAATTGGACTTTCCGCGCCAACAGTAAATTTTTAATATTGGCAATTTTTTTATTAAAGCAAATTTTTTATATTGGTTGGCCCACAAGCACTTCACGAATGGCCAGTTCACTCTAATAAAGCTACGGTTTGGTGTGCCGTTTCTTCCCTTGACATGAAATGGGGATATTGCCTGGTCAAAGTTTAAGGAGTGGACTCTGATATTATTTTCAAGACTTGATGCTTGTTTTGTTGGTTCAACACAAACTTCCACTCATTTCCTATGTTTTTTAATGAATACATCGATGTTATGATGTCTGACCTTTTTTTAATACTTACAGAAAAATGGCCCGTTTCACTGACTCACCCTGTATTTAACCATAGCCATGATTGTGTTAGTATTTCTTTCAACCTTTGAAAATACAGTATTTTTTCAGGTTCCCACAATATTATTTTAATTTATGATACTAAAAGTGTTTCAAACATACTATCAATATGGCAGATTTATTTTAAAACATTTATCTCAAAGATTTCTGCACCTAGATATTTGATTTAACCTTTGAAAACTAAATAAATTAAGTAATTAGCTGGTTGATCTTTTTGTTGTTTCAGATGATATAGAGAAATTGAGTAAAAAAGAAAACCTTACAGATGAACGATATAAGGTAAGAGAAAATTTATGGACTTGAAAAAATTTTAATGTTTTATTTATGTGTCCTCAACTTATTACACATTTATAAATTTCAGATAACTATAAAAATAATTTTAAATACAAAAAATCTAATTCTTATTCTTCTGTTCTAGTGCCTTGCTAAATGTGTTGGTGAAAAAGAAGGTGTGGTAAGTTGATTTAATTATGCTCCTCTTAGTAGGCCTATATATTAAAAATAGAAACCGAAACCAAAACTTATTATACTTGGTTGTATGTAAAATGTATTATTGGTCTTGCATTTTTTCATAATTTGTTTATGATTGAAAATGTTATGGATTAAACTAGCAAACTAAAGTATGGTAAAACATAATTTTTAATTTATAAGCATATAAGTTATCTAACAAAAAACCACTAAGTGGTAACACTTTCCCCGCCAAGTCAGCAATCCAAAAAAGATGATAAATCATTACTTTTTCCGCCAAGAAAAACAATGTAATGTATGTAAGTTTGGCAACTTGGCGGCAGACTTTTGCTTGGTTTTTTTAATTAAAGTTACGTTCGTGGATAATTTCACAAATCAACTTCTTTTTTAATTAATTAGTCCAACCAAGTATAGTTTCGAGGTAATCAGTAAATATAAAACCATCACTATTATGATTTTATGAAATGTGGCACAAATAAGGTCAAATTTTGTAAAATAAGCTCTCACCTAGCAATGTACTAATGGGAGAGATACTTGCTCAATGAAACTAGTTTTATGGTATTTTTTAAAGTGATCGAGCAAAAGTCTGCCGCCAAGTTGCCTAACTTACATACATTACATTGTTTTTCTTGGCGGAAAAAGTAATGATTTATTATCTTTTTTGGATTGCTGACTTGGCGGGGAGAGTGTTACCACTTAGTGGTTTTTTGTTAGATTTTATTTATTTTTGTAGAAAATTAACAGTTAAAATAAAAGTCCTCTTTTCTCTGATATATAGACCACGGCACAACTACATCTCATTTAATTTCAATAATATTGTTTGTGTAGAACTAAATTCTACATTTTTGGCCTTATCTGCTTTAAACCGATAAAAAATTGTTTACACACGTAAGAAAATTACTATTTAACGAACCCCTGGGCTTAAACTCAGTTTCAAATTTCATCAATGGTTATCTTGAACAACATAAAATGCGCTGGTGTTACATAAGTGTTCTGATAATTAAACCCGTATATCTAAAGACTAGTGTAAATTGAGCCCTTATTAGAGAAGTAAAAATGTAATCAAACAGATTAGGTTTGTTAGAAATAGCATAAGGCAAAACAAATATTGAAAAACTCCTAAATTTATTTAACTCTAAAATAAAAATAAAAAAATAAATTAATAATAATATATATAATAATAATAATAATTAATAATAATAATAAATTAATAATTAATAATAAAAATAAAATTATAAACTCTAATTATAAATTAACTCCTAAAATATTTATCCTAAATTTGCATATCACTTTTTAATTGCTTGTTTAACATACGTAGAGTGATTTTCTCGATTGTTTTATTTGTTTTAGTGTATAAAAACATAAAACAAACCTTAGTACTATGGTACTAGTACTAAGTTTCAAGTTCCTAGGTTTCATATGTTTTGAAAAGTAGTATTAAACTGTTAAAAATGACAAGCTGCTGTACCAGTGTACATCGGTACACTGCATTTTTCAGTGGAAAGTATCGGGGAATATCACTGCTCTAAGTAATTTTATATAGTAAGTAGTTCAAATCATTCGGTATACCTGAAAAAAATACTTTATACAAGTTTTAAAATAATTTTTCAGCTGTTCCTATGAATTTCCCTAACATTTAAATTAATTGAGATTTAATCGCAGCTGGTCCTTCTTTTGTTTTGATTTTAATCCCATGTCATTTAAATGGGCCAAAATCGTACTTTGAGGGCTTGCCAAGGGTTAATGGGTCAACGCACCGACTTGATACCCTCAAAAGGCACATCTACACGTTAAGGGCTTTCAAACAACATAAAAAACATTAAAATTGAGCCAGTGGTTTGGGCTGTAGGTCCGTCAACATTCAAGGAGAAGAAGGAGAACACGGAAAATTTGCGAATTTTCAAACTAGTTTTTCTTGGCTCAAACAAAACCGTTTTTTAAATTCTTCTTTTTATTTTGTTGAGAATGAGTGCCCCTATCCAGTAGATGAATAATTATTGTAATAGCTTTTGTTTCTTCAGAGCTATAGACGAGTAAAAAAGCCACTTTGTCACGTCATGTATATACACTGCAGCAGCTGTGTACCGCTGGGGGACTTGGCGGGGCGGAACGCTGCCGCGTTCCTTAATTAATTCAAAAGTTTTGTAATTCATAGGTTTTATTTTTCAATTTTTATATAGTAATAACATCGACTTTATATCTACACTATATAAAAATGTATATACAAATTTATAGTGTAGATATAAAGTCAATGGTAATAATCTAATAGAGTCGTTGGAAAACCTTAAATTGAACTTAAAAGATTTATTTATGACTCTTTAATAAGGATGGCTTCTTTCCTATTATGATAAAGATACTTTAAAACTACAGACATTTGATTTTAACAAGCTGGTATTGATTAATGGAATGATATAATTTTCATGGATTAAAGTTTAAATAATTAAGATCTTTAACATTTTTCCCCACATTGCTTTCTGAGTTATTTTTCATCCCTCAATTTTAATCCAATAACAATTACAGATTAAAGATGGAAAGTATAACAAGGAGGGAGCAATTAAAATCGCCAAGAAAATGTTTAGTGATGATGCAGAAAAACTGAAAAAGGCAGAAGAAGTTGCAGGGGAGTGTGATGAAACATGTAAGTTGGGTTTTTGTGTAAATTTCTATAAAAATACTGTGAATTTTTCTACAACGCATTATAAAATACATTATTTTAGTAAAAGAACTAATAATAAAATAATTTTTATGTTATTTGATGATAATACTGTTACATGTGTGGTTATATGTTTAAGTTGGGTTTTTGTGTAAATTTCTATCAAAATACTGTGACTAACTACTGTAAAACTAATAGAATAAAAAAATCTAAAGGGACTGAAATGTCTATTTTGACATATTCTGCCAAGCCAAAATCTGCAATGCCTAATCACTAACCATTGCTTCTTCATGTATAAATAATAATATACACATACAAGTACAATGTTGAAAAAGTTGGATATTTCAATGACAAAACATATTCCAAACCTAGAATTTGATCTTTTTGTTTCAGTGAAGGATATACAATCCAAAGAATGTGACTTTGGACCTGCAGTCATTGGTTGCTTGGTTGGAGGAGCTAAAGAAAAGAAGGTAAGAATCTTAGCATTCTGGATTTATAACATTCTTGTGATAACGTTTGTTTACATGGTGAAAAAATATCATCAAAATCACACCCGGAAATATTTGGTACTAATGCTTGTAAATAAAATAAGTTTTTGATTTAGTTTGGTGGGATGGTAGTACATAGTAAACAAGAATTTAAGTATTGAAGAAGTATTTAAGTAGTTAAGAAATTTTAATTACTGAACCTAGTGGACTGTTCATTTGCAAGAATTATACATAGTAAATTGCTAACATGAAATAATTGAACTTAAACTTTTAAAAAGTGTCCAAAGATTATAAATTTAGAATAAACTAGGTTGTTTTTCTCCATATTTACAAATTCAGTATTCATTTTATTAATTCGAAGCTGTACCTGGATTTGAAAAATAAATACTGTGTTGTTATGAGAAATTAATATAAAAGGTAGGTACAAAATCTAGTAAGGTATGATGGGGCTGTTATAGTTTTTACATCATCAGTTTTATATCGTTTAGAGGTATTTGATTTCACTCTTAATTGTTTTTCAGATAATGCCTGATAAAATGGAATGAAATAAGGGAGTAGAAATAAACAAAACTAAGAAGATAACCAAGTATTACAATGAGGAAATGAACATGCAAAAATAGTAATATCAGAATTTGTGGAGACATATTTTAAGTAGATTTATTACAAGGATATTTTGTAGTAGTCTACATATAATGAGGTTTGCATGTTTTTAAAGATAAGCTAAAATAAAGTATTGTATTTCAAAATCATTTTGCTTATACTAATAAATATTATTTTTGTTTCATATGTGTACATCCATTGTTCCTCTAAAGAAGAAATATTTAAGTTATAATATGTGATATGATTTTTTTTATATTTTAATGCATACAAAACATTATTACTTACTACTTTGTTTTTTTATTCTAACTACTTTTTCATTTTTTTTTACGATTTTGAAATGTTGAGTATATTTTATACTTTTATGTCAGTTGAGCTGTTGTCTATTATCAGCTGAAGTTCTGCAATGGCAGCTGAAGTATACAGCTGGGCTTAGTCTGGGCCTAGGGGTGCAAGAGATTCGTTGGGAGTACAGGAATGAGAAAAACCCACCTGCAAGGGAGGGGAAGGGGGCAAATATCTCTCGACCCATAGTGCATCACATGGGCCTGGAAGTATGGTATTTATTGAAATTAATAACTTTGGGACTTCTTTGGAAATAATACTGACTTTAGTATTGGATTGGGCTTAGTTTTGATAGGTATTATCATTTGCTTTGGATATAGATATTGATTTTTCATCCCATTGAAAAATTTTAAGCCTATTTTGATGTTTGTTTCATTATCATTTAAGTTTGTTGATGTTGGTTTGAAATTTCTATCTCAGGGTAAAGTTTGCAGTGTGTTTTTTACTCTATGATAATAATAACAGTTGACAAGAATTTGAACCATTTTAAAAAGGGGAAAAAATGAGAGAAAAATGTAAAGCCAAAATCCACTATACACCAATCAGGAACAATCCTTGAAAGTTAAAGTTGTCTTAAGCTGTACCATAAGGATCTAAGGTGGAGTATGTATAATCTATGGCTTCAGGACAGTCAAATGCTTTCGCTGCCGAACGCCACATGTATGTACTGCTGCGGCCATTGCCACGGACCGAGATATACATTTTAATATTACACATAGACTGGGTGTCACTTGGTTAACAGTACACGCAGACCACGGGCCAGTAGCTGCAGTGATGGGTGATAAAATTTTAAAGAAACATTGCATTTACAATGGCACACAAACAGTTCCGAGAAGTTGATCAAAGCCGCAGTGATGTCTGACACAGGAAAGACCCTGACCTGGGAATTTCAGGGGATTTTTACAACTGCATCAAAACAGTGGAAATGACTTGCACCATTGTTACATCCAGGACAGAATGGGTATATAACCATGTTTAAACGGTTGTCCCTGGTGTTACTATGGTGGTCTGTGGTGTAAACATGTTGGTGCTGGTGGTCATTGCTGCTGTGGTGCTATCTGTGAGTGTTAATTGTAAACATTTACACAGAAATTGCAAGATTATTATTGATGTAAATTTTCTATCAAAGTAGTTCTATTCAGTTACTATTGAGTAAATAAGGTACAGTAGAACTCCGATTATCCGAATCAATAGGGACCAGACCCCATTCGGATAATCAAAAACTCGGATAATCGGAGTTTTACCTGAATTTTGGGAATTTTAAAGAAAAATCCTCATTTTCGGTACTAAGTGAACTTTTAATTAATAATAATTTAAATCAGAACATTTTTACAGTTTACAATGCTCATAGTACAAGTGTTCTATACATGTTATTAAGTCAATAGTGTTCCATCGAAGTCAGAAATTGGCTAAATGTGTTTAATAACAATTCTTTGATATTTTGCAAAACTTATTACTGTAGCTTTACGTTTTTAAAATTGTTGAAATAAGCGATTCGGATAATTGGAGATTCGGTTAATTGGAGTTCGGATAATTGGAGTTCTACTGTAGTTAGGAAAGTATTAGATCGGCAATTAGTATGGCCCTAAGTAAAACAATATTACAAGTTGTACAAAATGTTGTATTTTAGAGAATATCATTTAATTTGATCAAATTTAATTTCTAAACTTATTTTGATAACTAAATTCTCCCAAAAATTTAAGTATGCAGTAAAATCATGGTAAGAATTCTGGTTGTTTTCTTTGCAATATTAGGCCTATAATAAATTTCATTAACCAAAAACACCATTTGGATAAAGGTATCACACTTTATTAGCAATAACTTGGCCCACTTTTAATTTAAAGTTGTAAAAAAACACAATCCAAAAACACTGAAAACTAAAAAATTTGTCAGTGAGCATTTTTATAAATGCGGGGTTAGTCACTTGACTATTGTCATAAATATAGGTGTTAAGAAAAGGTTGGGACATAATTTACATACATAGTGATTCCTAGGGTCAATGTTGATCCCCTAGATCTAGCGTGAAGTAATGTGAAAAACAATCTCAGTAATGTGAAAAACAATCTCGGGCTTATGCCTAACGACATAGGACAAAAAAAAAAAACTTTCTACCCACAATTTTGCTAACTTACATGTGTCAATTTATGGGAATCTTCTCGTAACCCGAGAGTTATCATTGCAACTGTACAGGTCGCAGCCCAGCAGCCGTTTGATGTACAGAAAATGTACAAGGAATGTCAAAGGGAGTCTAATGCCACAGATGGTGAGTTTTAATAATGGTTGACATGTTGGCATAGATACAAGACCATGAAGTTTACATTCACACCCTATGTTAAGTTGTAGCCTATTTCAGGATCAAAAAGTAACTTGGCGTAATACAGCAAACAACAATGTGTTCCAATTATGAAATACTGCTTCTTACTCAGACATGCCAAATGAAAGGAACAATTATTCATTGTTAATAATTAGAGATTGCATTATTTCACTTTAGACTTCCATTATAAAAATGTAGATAAGAGTTTTAATAGTAACACACTCCTTGAGAGTCTCGTGCTCTTTTTTGAGCAAAATCTAGCAAGAGCTGGTTAATTTTTATGAAATATTTACCGTACTTAATTACCTGTATCGAAAGTTAATGTTTCAATTGGTTTAATGTATTATAATTTAAATATAAGTAAAGTTTGGTCACAGGAACATTAGATTATTTAATGAGGATTAATTTTTATCCATTCATAAAAGAGGATACAAATGAAACAAACATAATAACACAGCAAACTGTACACAGGTAATGTTACATTTGTGTAAAATGTTGTAGTTGCAGAGTATTAAATGTACTTTTAAGAATTTCTTAAGACGATTTGTTTTAAAAAGCAAATTTTTGAAAGAGGTAAATTCTTGTATGATGCATTAATTTGAAAAGAACATTATGGGAAGTTGGGCAATTTTTAATGCAATGGAGGATTTTCATTACAGAAATACATGATTGAAGGTCAAGGCTCTGTTGAAGTTGTTTTACTAACAAGTAAACAATATTCCACAGTAAAATTATAGAATTAAGTTTACAAAAATCTGAAGTTAAAAATAACTCTATGCATCATATTTCTACTACGACTTTTAATAGAGATTTGTTTTTTAGAGGAGTTGTCAGCTTTCCAAAAAAGTCAAAGCATTCCAACAACACAGCATGGGAAGGTGAGTAAAACAAAGCTGAGATTATTCTTCAGCATATATATTGTTTAAATATTAATTCTATGTTTGGAAAAGATTCCCCCTCTTAGACAGAATAAACCTGAGTCCTAATTGGTCAACCATTTTCCCCTTCAACAAGCTGTATGCATGCATCTATATGTGTTGTGTTTGGATTTCAATCAATTTGATTTCAATCAATAAATTGATCAAGGTTTTTTTTCTTGAAACTGGGTCCACAAAATAATAAGTTGCTTAGATTATTTTCAAAATGCAAAACGCTAAATTGTGTCAATGAGTACAAATCCTTTAAGAAGCGAAATACTTATGGAGAATAGTCAGACTGGAATTTTGGTACCAAAATGAGCTTCGTGTGGCCACCGTTACGATCGCCCGGCCGGCGGCCGTGCTATTCTATCTCACTCTCGCTCTAAGTCGATTCTTTGTCTCACTCTCTCTTTCAGTCAGCTTACTTGGCCAAGCGCTCACAATATCAAGACATCGGCTTACTTGGCCGCGTCGTGGGAACTATCCAAAAATCAAATATTCCCAGACTGAATTTTTTAACAAAGGCTTCTTATTGGTTTTGTATTCATTGGTTGTATACCATATAAATAATAGCTATCTCTCTGCGGACGATGTGAACAAACTTCATAGACTATACAATAAGTTTTTGAAATTTAAAAAATGTATGCAACAATCAATGTTTACAAGATTTCTTTGTTTCAGTGTCTTCTAGCTTGCATATTTCAAAATACAGGGGTGGTAAGTATTTTACGACTTTTATATTTACAGTAGAAATTACTCCGTTTGGAGCAAAGCTACAAAACTAAGCTGAATTCCAGGTTCATGATAAAGGGAAACTTACACAAACAACTAACACTTACCATGAATTGAATAAGTTCATAGGTTTATTGCTTTGGAGAATTGTTGATCGTGTTAAATTTCAAAAGCCTACAATGAAAGGAAATTAATTACCAAATTTCAAGAACATATTATTAAGTTGTTTAATGCATTTTCAAAATGTTGAATAGGAAACAACTTGTAAACATTTTATAAAAATTTCAAATTTGAAATTTCTAACAAGATTTACCATGCTTACAGAAACTTATAAACAATTGAAACTACGATTTGACTCCTAAAGACCAAAAAGATAAATTGGGGGTCTTACTTTGGAAACTATAGTAATTGAGCAATTTCTTCTTCCCTTATGTGTGTTCAAATGAGTTTGGAGATACATTAAAGATAGCAATAATCATAAAGATAAAATAATAAAGATTTGACAATAAAATGTTGACCATGAACTTACATACTATTGACACAAAAAATATGACTATATACTTCAATGTTAATGTGATAAATTTATCAATGATTAGATGACAAGTGATGGCAAATACAACGTAGACGGAGTTTTCAACTTGGCGAAACAGTCTTACATGAAATCTCCAGAGAAACTGGCAAAGGCGAGAAAAGTTGTGGACATTTGTGCAGAACAAGGTAAGGGTGTGTGAATGAAATAAATAAAATAAATAAATAAATTTAATAGCGAATCTCAAATAAATCTCAACTAAAACAAATATAAGACAGATAAATCATTAAAATGTTTAAATTATTGCAAAACCTAATCCTAAGTTTTTTCTGACAGAGTAAGCCTTTTTGATAGAGAGAGATTCATAAACAATTCTGTAAAGGTAGGAAAGTGATGACTCTGATTTTTATAGGAAATCATAAAAGGAAATTTAATTTGTAAGAAAGTCATAGAATATATTTAGTTAAGTAGATGAATAGGCTACTTTAAATCAACATTCCCCATAGAAAGTACACATCCCAAAACATTTAACTGTCAAATGGTAAAATTCGGCTTGAAACTGAATAATCTAGACAGGTCAAATATCTCAGTAGAAGCCACACAGAATCATAATTAGAGCATAAAATATTCTGAGTCATTTTTCTCACTATCGTAAAACTGGCAGTATCTAATAGAAACTGAAACTTCAATTGTATTCTAAGCAATGTCTGTAGTGTATTACAATTTTTAGAAATTCAGAAAACACAAAATTGGTTTCTTCATTTAGTAAAAGAAAGCGGATTAATACATTAACACTAAACTGAAGATCTACTGATTAAAATCATGAATATCAGATGGCATTTCAAATAACCTAAAGACCGCACATGAGCTGTAGAAATATTTTAAATTAGTACCAAAAATATACAAAATTTCAAACTTATTTTACCTTGGCTAATCATTTACTTTGATTAAAGTATGATTTTTTTCAGTTAAAAGTGCAGAGGATGAGTGTGAAGTAGCTGTGATAGTTGCCAACTGTACAATGACTACATCAATGAAGGTGAGTGTCCATTCCATTTTCACCATTACAGACCTTTCATAAGCCATGCATTTAAAAAAGGCAAAATTAGAATCGCTTGACATCCTAAAACCAAGAACCCGCAAAACGTTCATTAGCTTTTAAATGTTTTTTTACTTTCTCCATGGAGAAAGTATTGTTTTTGTAAAACAATTTTAATTTAATTTTTTTGGAAGGATATTGGTCCCCCTGAACCCCAAAAAGTGGTTTTTGAAGTGATGTCTGTATGTGTTAACGTGTAAAGAGCTACAGACCACACTTGTGGTCCGATTTTAATGAAATCTGGCCGTGGGTAGCCTACTACACCATAGTAACCCCAGGGTTTTTTTCCTTTTTTTAAATTTTGATTTTTTGGTAATTTTCCTATAAAATAACAGAAAAATATTTTTTTTTTTAAACAGCCCAAACGATTTTGATTCCAATTTTGTATTTTATAGATTAACTCAAAACAAAACGGTACACCCTCATCACAGTTAAAATTGTAGTTTAAAAGTGATTGCAACATGTGTGATTTATGGAAAACCCCATAAAATACAGAAGTTAGATGGATTTATGAAAAAAAAGCTCAACCTATTTTGATTAGAGTTCAGTGTTTTATGGTTCTTGTAATTCTTAACAGAATGGTACTACCCCAGTTTCTATAAAAAGTACAGTTCAAACGTTATTAAAACTTTTATGATTTTACCCATAAAATACAGTAGTTTCTCCACCGCTTAAGGGTTGTTGGCAGGCTAATGGGAGAAATTTTAGAATTTAGCCTCCGGATTACGTTGAATATATTAAAATGGTGTAAATACCTGCTTCGTGGTAATCCTAATGTTGCTAGTGTCGCAACTAGTTTCGACTTTTTACAAAGTCATCTTCAGGCGAAGGCGTCAAGGATGTCAAATGGTGGTCACTTCATATGAAGGTCGTCATTACACATAAATGTACATAAAAACACGAACACGAACACGGACATTAACACGTATCGTGTTAAATGTACCGTTTTTACGTGTTAATGTCCGTGTTCGTGTTCGTGTTTTTATGTACATTTATGTGTAATGACGACCTTCATATGAAGTGACCACCATTTGACATCCTTGACGCCTTCGCCTGAAGATGACTTTGTAAAAAGTCGAAACTAGTTGCGACACTAGCAACATTAGGATTACCACGAAGCAGGTATTTACACCATTTTAATGGGAGAAAGAATGTGTCAGATTGCCGATATCGTTTATTTACACTTTTTACAATACAAATTTTAACCATACCAAATTCAAAATTGTAATCATAAGTTCAGTAATATTAATAACTCAACTATCTCCCACAAGACGTGTACTGTGCAATGAACATGGATTGGGATTTTAAAATCCCATAAAATGGATCAGTTTTCACTTATAGCGAATGTAGTTCAATCAGCCTCTGAGCTACTGAAGTTCTACTTTTCCACAAATATTTTCATACCATAATAGATTACGACTGAAATCATGCTACATTTTAAAGTTTTTTGGCCTTTCAATTTTCTGAGGTAAAAAAGCTCTTTATGAGGAAAAAACACAGTTTCATTGCAGCACTTGCTTTTAGTGTGTCAATCGTCTAAAGAGGAGGGAATTCGTTTTTTGTAAATTAGAAAGAAAAGAACAGGTGTTAGTTTTAATTATTTCCAATGTTCAGCTTGTCACTCCACTAATAATATTAAACCTTTTCAGCTTGGACTTGAATCTGCCTAATCCCAGCTGTGAAGAAAGCACTGAAATCTTTTATCAATGTAATTAGTATTTATTTATTTTATAACATTTACGAGGATGGATTTTATATGTAAAATGTATTCTTTTTACGAAAAATATAAACCAAAACATATTGAGTGAAGTTTTTCAACTTGTGTTTGCTTTAAGATTTAATTGTTAAATCGTTCTACCTGTACCTTTCCGGTGTTACGATTGCAAATACAAAAATGTAAGAAAACTAATGATTGTTTGCTCTTCTAAAACTTTCAGGAAACAAAAACCTATCCTACCTCAAATCAATCAAAATAAAATTGTATGTGTACATTAATGCATTGAAAAGAGTGGAATTTTCCTATCTTTATTTACATAAAGATAAAACTGTTAAAGTCAAAAAGAAAAATTGTAAGATATTGAAAAAGTTATTCTATTTTCTTCTTATAAATTAGAATTAATCTTTGATAAATAAATATGTAGTAATATATCTTTCTTAAACATCAGTGTAACAGTTTCTCCACAAACTGTTACACTGCCTGAGGGATGACACCAGTTGTTGGCAGTGGTTATGATAGATACAGGGTTATGTGTTTAGAATAGCACTGAAAGAGTTAGAATCAACTATTTATTCACCTGTGCTTGTGATCAAAAATATACAAATAAATATTTTATGTACAAAATATGCTAAAAAAACTTATTATTTACATATAGGTTAACTAAAAACGGACTACAAAGTTCAAGAAGTTCACAAACATCGTACATTGAATTAATCCTCCTTGAAAACATTCTTTACACTAAATCTCTTCACTGACTGTTTGTAAGGTCTTTCAACTTCTCTTACCTAAACAAAAAAATCTATTTTAATAAACAATAGACACATAAGTTACACAATATTCACATTATTATTATAGCTCGGGTATCTTTGTTATTGGTCAATTGAACAAGAAGCTTTAAGGAACACAAGACTTAATCCTTTGACGGTCACTGCTCAGGGATTATACACCTTATTTTATAATGTTTTCCTCCTCTTATGAACAGTGAACACAAATACCTGTCTCGAAGACACATACGATTGTTGTCAAGTAGTAAATCGCCTGATCTGATTTTCAATTCACAAGAATCAAATCGTCCTGTCAATTACTCAAGCCTTCCACCATTTATTTTGAATTAGGCCGCCTCTTCCACCGTTACATACACATGTGGGTTTCATACAAAACCTGATAAAGACGGAATCTCAACATTCTAAGTACCGAATAGTTTGTCTACTGGCTGAGGACACACCTTAGATAGGCCTGGTCAAACCTAACAGCAATAAAATTACTAATAAACACACTACCAACCTTATAGAACGTTCACAATATTTAGGCGGTTTGAGGGGAAGTTTCTCTGGGTTCCCCCGCCACTTGTTTTTTCTAAAAGTATGATACAGCTGATCGATGGATTGAGCTTATCAACAGCTATTGTTTCAAAGGTAGGGTAAGGTGGAGGGGATGGAATTGCTTCCCCTGCAACCAGTGGCGGACCTAGAACAGCCACAAAGGGGGGGCGAACTGGGGGGTCTGGGGGGTTCGGCGGTACCCCAGCCCCCCCAAAAAATGTGTGTAAACTAAGTCTCCAAAATGGCAGTTTTATACAATTTCTTTGTCCAACGTTTGTATGACAAATTATTTTACGCAATGTGTAAGCACTACTGTATTACATGCAGTAAAAAACATCATATGCCCGAGGGGGGGCGGTCGCCCTCTTAGCCCCCTTCTGGATCCGCCACTGTCTACAACTGCCTAAATATTGTGTACAGAGTAGGCTATGTCATAGTATTTCCAACTGCCCCAGAGGCAGGACGTATCAGGTGCAGTTTTTAAAATTACTTTTGTTCAGTTGCAGTCTCAGAAACAGTTGTTACCGTACGATTTGTTATGAAAAGGGATTGTTTAGCTAGCTTACTAAATAAAAAATGTGGCTCAGAGGTCAGCTACACAAATAAAATTTCACAAAACACTAATATTTTGTCTTTGTCCTAATAAAGGACTTCTTAGTAACTATGAAGTGTTGGTTATGAGTGGTGCTATGGATGAATAGGGTTATATGGAAGTCAGAAACATGAACTTAAGTTACCACATAGGTATGTGTTGGTGTATTTCAAGAAATGATTGGTCAGGCTAATTTAACTGAGGGCTTAGGAAGCGTTAGATGTGTTTTAATTTAAAAGGATAAAGGCTGCTGGGTTTTATTGCTTTTTGTGTTACCTGGATGGTCTGCCTAAGAGTACCAGCTTCAGTTCGATGTCACTAAATGCAGATGATGCTAATTTAATTGTTAAAGGAAATTCCAGTTCTGATATTGAGCTCTCAGCCAATTTGGACTTAATGAGTATTCAATTTTTTTTTAATCAAAATAACCTTCTATTAAATACAAGCAAATCAATGACAGTAAGTTTCTCCACAAAACAAAATAAAATAGCTCTGGATCAAAAAATCAAAGTTGGCAATAACATAATAAATAAAGCAAATGAGACAAAATCTTTAGGACTTTTCATTGATCGACATCTATCTTGGAATGATCATGTTGATAATGTAGTGAAAAAGATGTCATCAGGAATATATGCACTGTGGCAAATGTCAAAAATATCTGACCTTACAGTGCTGAAAACAATATATTATTCTTTAATACACTCACATCTGGCATACGGAATTTGTATATATGGAGCTACCTCAATATATAATTTGGACAAAATTCTGATAAAACAAAAAAAAAGCAATACGAATCATGTTAGGTTTAAAAAGCACAAAGTGTCGAAAACTTCTTTAAAGATCTTAAAATTTTGACAGTTTACAGTCTTTATGTCTTGGAAACAATAAAGTGTGTCAAAGAACATGAAAGTGATATATTTTTTTAATCCAAGCATCATTATGATACCCGAAATAAAATTATTTTTGATAAACACAATCTGCATTTTTATAAAAACAAAACTAAATATATGGGCACCAAATTTTTTACTCAGTTGCCAAATTTAATTAGAAACGAGCAAAATTACAATAAATTTAAAAACTTGCTGAAAGAATATCTTGTTAATAAAGCTCTCTATTCTTTTTTCAGAGTTTCCTTAAGTGAGGGCTCCACTACTGGTTGCCTGGGTTTTATATATAGTTTTAAATATATTGTATTTTAGCTATATAGCATGAAAGTATGTGATTTTTAGTTATATGTGACTCTATTCTGATGCTGCTATGTATTCATATGAATAAAGTTTATTTTGACTTTGACTTTGCCTAAAACAAGAGGAGTCCGTTATGCGTTCCGCGCTCCACTTCCCCACATAGGAAAACCCGGCTTTACCCTCAGGCTGATTGTGCTCATTGCCATAAACACCCTAAGACAGCTTTTGAGGAGCTGTAATAAACTAATTATTTATACCATGCACAACTTATAACCACTAACTGAAATTGCCAGAGCTGCATTAACATGGATAAATTAATAAATGCCTTATAAGGACCATACAAGGGACTATTGAATACTGAATTCCTGACTGTGATTATTTTATGGACTAGTGAATTACTTGGGTTGGCATTAAAGAACTATTGATTAATTTAATAGCATGTGATTTGTTACATTGTCCAAATAGATCCTAAAACCCACAAAACTAAATCCTACAACCCTGGTTTCTCCCCGGCAACCCCTGAATTCAGCTAAACTATTGCATATTAATGAAATTAACTCTTTGACTTAGGTACTTATCAAAACCGGGTGATGTTGTTAGCTTGAAGATGACAAAATGTCAGGGGCGAGGGAAGTTAACATTAAATGATTTTTTTGTGATGTGTCAATTTAATGTTGCAAATTTATCAATGTAAATCATGAATCATGTGACAATGTCTCTTGCAAATTTGATTAATTTTGTTGAATGACTTAAAAATGTCTTATTAGTTAGATTGGTACTTTCCTGTTAAAGGGAACATTAATTATTATCGATGATTTTTTTCTCGATATATCGATATTTTTGTTTTCCGATCCATTACAAATTGACAACAACTAACTGATCTTGTTTAGGCTAAAATAGTCTAGGGATTAAGAAATGAAACTGTTCTAAGCTAACCTAACATAACCAACCATACTTGCTCTACCATTTAAAAATTCCGTTTGGGTTTGATAAGAACAGTTTCATTTAATTATTGTTTGGTGATACTGAACAATATTTATCGTAGTTGTCAGCTGATATGTTTCAATTTGTTAATATCGATATATCGAGAAAAAAATCATCGATGATAATGAATGTCCCCTTTAACAGGAAAGTACCGTTAGATTTGTGTCCTTTTTGTTTCTACAAGTTTTGACGACTGACATTTGTTGTAGCCAGACCAAAAGAGATTTTGGCCAGTACCTTTTTCCTGCAGGAAAAATATTTTTTTTCCTTTTTAGATTAACTTACTACTTATTAGATAGGAGCAACTAAACAACATCACCCTTAATTTGCTTAACACAAGTAACATTTTGTTATGTAATGATTTGGGAAATTCTACGCAAATGAAGATTTGTCCGTTACCTTCTCTGGAGCAAAGCTTGGTCTCTTCACCTTGCTGGGATTGTGTTTCGCTACTTTCTGTAAACACAACCAGTGCCTGTGTAAATGGTCTACCCTATCTCTGTTAGTCAGTTCTTCTCCTAGCACAGTGTATGGGACATGCCAGTCTCCATGGGAATTCTGCTGAATCGTCTGTAGAAATGAAACTGGTTCCTAGAAGAAATAATACAGTTGGATGTTATTACTTTGGATACTACGAAGACAAGTAAACATTCTACCTAGCCTACATGGACTGACTGTAGGAAATTTTTTCAAAGTTTTTTCATTGTTTTCAAAGAAAACCTGAAGATCGGCAGGCGGACAATTTCAGGCATATTCGGTAGTGTCGGATGCTGGCTTTTAGTCACATTCTTCTTCTTATTTAATTATTCCGCATTTAATGTTAAGCTATTCATTTTATCCTAGATGATTGAAAAACTTGGAAGGTATTGACTACAGTATTAGATAAAGTACCCCTGCCGCAGCAAACCTGCAGACTAAGCGGATTTCCATTTGTCTGAATTGATTTTAAATTCAATCTATTTAAATAACATTAGGTTTAACAAGTACCTATTTTTGCTGCTACTGTGAGGCTAATAATTGTGTTTTTTTGTTTTTTGTTTTTTTTTATTAAAATATTAGTACAGTAGACTCCCTCTTATCCGGACACCTTTTAACCAGACCTCGGTTTAACCGGACTACACTCGACAGAAATGACATCTCTTTAACCGGACAATTTTTATCAACACATTGGTTTAAACGGATTAGATCGGCAGGAAGTGGGTGGTACTGAAACGACTGTTCTCGTGGGAAAGATTTGAGACCAGTGATCACGTGTCCAAATACAATGCTCAAAACAAAATTCGCAGGAAATAAATTTATGTCCCATCTTCCAAAAATACTTCTAAATGAAAATGATACAAAAAAGTTTAAAAATTGTCTGAAACAGTATTTGATTAAAATTTCCCCTTATTCTCTTGAAGAGTTTTGGGAGAACAAATAAAATAAATATTCTGTCTTATTTTTAGTTCTTAAATGTAAAACATTTTATTTTGTAATATCTGACTCTATTCCTGTACAATTGTACTTACATGAATAAAGGATATTTTGATTTGATTTGATTTGATTTGATGCTCTACTAAATTTAAGTCGAATACCACAGTAAACGGTCTGTTTTAACGACATCGGTTTAATCGGAAAAACCGTTATCCGGACTAGCCTTGGTCCCAAGGAGTCCGGATAAGAGGGAGTCTACTGTAGCTTAATATAAGATAAATAAATTTGCCAAGTTTGATCAAACTATTTCTATAAACAAGCAAACCACAACATTTTACAATATTCTCCATAAGAATAACATAGGAATTTTGAATTTGCAATTTTTTAAATTTTCTCTGTAACCAATAACCGTACAAAAACACTTTGGCATACTAAATTATTCGTTTTTTTAAGCTCTTTAAAATGGTCTAGAGATAAATTTTGTGTTTTGAGGGTAAGTTTATCCTGCTTACACTTTCAAACAAAATTTCATCAAAATCGGACAAAAATTACTCAAGTTGTTCACGGACTTATAAACCTATATACATATTTAAAAATTTGAACGAGTACTGTTTTGGCCTCTAGGGACATCAAAATGAAAAAGTATATCGGTCCCGGCTCCACCTACTTCCCTACAATAATAGCTATAGGGAAATTCGCTAAAAGAGTTTTAAAATGATTTATCTGTGTTAAACTTTAGGAATTTGTAATTACAGTGATGTAATTCAATGATTACCGTAGCCAATTTGATATTAGTGTACAACAGAAGTAGCACACAGTAAGTAAGTAAAAATTGTACGGATGGCTAATTTATTTTTTTAATGGTTTTGATTTTTTGCAATTTTAACAACAAAAGGATTAGACTCCCCCTTCATAGTTGTGTATTTATAGAACCAATCTCAATTATGTAGTAAACAAGCTCATCACAAAAAAAAAAAAAATGTATTTGCTTTATGGTCACAATACGGATGTAGGTTAGCATTATCGTAAAATATTAAGAGAGGCAATACCAACAGTATCTCGTGTATGATCACTTCTTTGCTAGATATCGAGCAACAAATAAATTCTTGACTATTAAATACAAAATATCAAAATAGAAGTTTAACTTACCTGAAAAATTAAATTTCCACCCCTATCAACAGTCAATATGAAAAGCTGACGCAGGGACTGCCACTTTTGGAAGGTATTCCTAAGTTTTTTGTCACTAAGCAGAAACTTGTGTCCCCTCATCATGTCTCGAGAGACAAAGTAGGTGTCAAGACCACCGTGCAGAGCTGCGTACAGCATGAACGGGTCATCTTGGGATCTGGAAATCAAATTATTAGAGCTTTCAATAACCCCGCATCAGCAAACCAGCAGACTAAGCGATTTTCCATTTGCCTGATTTAATTTTCACTTAAATCTTTTAAATAACATTAGCTTTAACGAGAACCTAGGTTTGCTGCTACAGGGAAGGTATTAAAGTGTGTTTTTAGAAAATTGAAATTGCTTAGTATAAGTTTTTATCAAAATGTATTAATAGACAAGCAAACTATAACAGTTTACTGATTCCCCATCAGAATAACATGGTACAGTAGAACCTCTTTAATCCGAACCCCCGTAATCCGAACGTCCACTAATCCAAACCCCTCATTGCTGTACTCTATAAACAGTACAGCAGTTCTTTTTTGTATACTGTATTTAATTTACAGTACTGTTTATTCACCATGTTTACTACTGTAAAAAAAAAACAATATGTTCTGTAATCCGAACCATTCAATAGTCCGAACTACTCCTGGTCCCAATTAGTTCGGATTAAAGAGGTTCTACTGTAATTTTAAATTTAATCCCCCCCCCCCCCCCCCCGTAAGGAATAACTGTACAAAACCACTTTAATGGACTAATTTTTATTTTAAGCTCTTCAAAATGGTTTAGAGGGGAAATGGGAAGTTTTATATTTTGAGTGTCTTTTCATCATAATTGGATAATTTTTGATTGAGTTATCATGCTAACGGACACACACACACACGTATGTATATGAATTTGAACGGATGGTGTTTTTGGGGTCATCAAAACAAAAATAATAAATCCACAAAATCCAAGAAAATCTTACCATGAAACCTACGGTAATTGCTTATTCCCTATATGGAAAATTCGCTAAAAGACTCAAAAGAATTTTTTTCCTTAATCCAAGTCCAAATGGAATGTAATCACAAACAGGTTTGATATATTTTCTCAGGACCCCGTGATAGCGGGAGATATTCTCAATTTTGCTGCAATCTCAGGTGACGATGATGATTTCTATTGTGATGATGAGAGATGTTCGTTCATAAGTTTCCCACGATCGCTGGTGACAATGATGATATCCCCGTGATAGCGGAATTCCTTTTACAATTTTGCAGCAATCGCGAGGAAGTTCCACATAAGGAGCCAGGGTCGCTCGTGCTATTTTTGCCTAGTACCCTAAATCTGTCAATGTCGCTATCGTCCCTTACGATCGCGGCAAAGACTGAAACAACCCAGCTATTGAAGAAATTTTAATCATATCCAGTGATCACCATGGAGTTGAGAGAGCATCTTCCGCAATCACGAAGAACACAAGAAACTCACCAAGAATCACTTAACATTTATCTCTAGTAACTCTCATGTGAAATGCCACTGGCGTTGAAAAAAAAAAGACATAATCATCGTCTCCTTTTTGATTGCAACAAAATCCTTGACATCCCCAAGATTGCCAAGACATTATTGTTGTCTCCCCCCATCGAGACAAAATCTTGTGAATGCCAAGACTCGTTATCGTCTCCTGCGATCCGGGCAAAAACCTGACACACCTGATTGCAAATAAATCATCCATCCCGGGATCGCCGCTATATCTTTCATGTCCTGCACGATCGTGAAGACATCATTATAGTCTTCCATAATCGTGGTGAATTTATTGCATGGTAGCAAATAAACCTACCCTGACATTTTTCACCAATTCTTGGTTTCAGGTTTATCTAAAAACCAGCTAAACGAACCAAACTTTAAAAACAGGTTTTATTTTGAATCCTTATAAAGTTAACTACATTTTGTTGAAAGGCCTAGCCTATATGGAAAAAAATCTGTGCACACAATCCGTTAAAAAATTAGTACAGACCCGCATCTGGCTCCACTTGTGAATTGGCCTCAATGGGTTAAAGTATCAATAAAAAAATGCTGTTACCTTCAATGTTATTTCACTAACCATTGAATCTGATTTTGTCTGTTTAATGTAATGGTTATGTTGTCCAACATAGAATATTGAACGAGGCAAAAGACTTGTTAACATGTATTTACTATTTAGGTCAATATGGTAGTGAATTTAAGGTTTCGAATCTCCTTGGTTTTTACATGCGATTCCACATAGCAACGTCTTATGTTAGAGGAGTCATAAATCTAGAATTTTTGACAAAGACTTCTGAACCATTTGGAATTTTGCTACCACTAACATAACAATTAAACATTTTATATCGATTAGAATAAAAATTAACATGTACCTAGATCCAAAAATTTCCAGTATTGTTGTTGTCGTCACTGTACGCGATACACTTAGCCTACTTGTAATATCACAGACGAAATGAAATTGAGGTATGACAAAATATAGGATTCAATTTAACACCAAAATGAGCTTGTGTTCTTTACAAATCCAAACAACAAACTAAACTTGTTTTCATTATTCATAAAACAATTAAAAGATTAAAATAACTTATAAAAACGAAAAGGTCTTAAGTAAAAACCTGTCCTTCAGCAAAAGTTCTTTTAAATATATATTGGAGTTATAGCTATATATTGTAGCTTGGAGTTGTACTTGCTAGTCATATGACGACATCGTGAAGAAATTATTTTTTGCTTGAATGTGAATAAATGATGAAAAATAATACTCACAAGTTATCTGCCAAGAACAATTGAGCATTTTTCTTAACAAACTCCATGTCAGGTGTATTCCAAGAAGCCATGTGCTTTCTTCCTAACACCAACACTTTTTGCTTCCAACCAGCAAAATACTTGACAACTGTTTTTAGCTAGAAGAAATATAGGCTACATGATATCATTTAGTTGACATGTACATAAACATGAATGTACTGAATGTACAAATGCAATCATTCTGTTTGACTTAACATTAAATAAAAAAGTGTCTTAAATAGCTTGTAAAGTCAACTGTATAAAAAATGAATCAAAACACACACAGAAACTGGCTTCTTATTCTTTTGTATAGGCTAATAAAGTTTTTAGAATGGTCCTTGGAATGAAGTATTAATATAACCCTTTGCCTACTTAAAACAAATAGGCCTAGCCGGTTCAATAATTACAAATCTAAAGCCAACTGGGACCCAAGAGGCTCAAGCCCCCCATGTTGACAGATGAAGGGCTTAGTCCCCCCCCCCCAAAAATAAAGTAATTGTTTGTATTAGAGGTCGGCAGAGATCCCAAAAATTGTAACAGGACAAGACAAAAGTAATTCGCAACCTAATCTTGGAGCAAAGGTGGAAGGGCCCAGGATCACAAACGATTGTGATCCTGGGCTCATGATTTCGCTGGGTGAGATACGACCATAATATCTCTACGATCATGGTTGTTGTTATTGAATTGGCTCTGATGGTGGGAGACAATCATGATATCTTCAGGACTTGAAACAGTGGCGAAGTGACTCAGCTCGTACTAATTCAATGGCCCCATGAATACTGAATACCTAACAAACAATATGAACCAGTACTACAAAATTAAACATACTCACCCGTTCAGTATTAATTGCGGTTGTCTGATGTCTACCATGTAAAGCAACATTAAGCCCATCAACAACAATATTGAAAGGTCCCGACTGCTCCAGAAAGTTCAAAAACTCACTGAACTCTTCTGGCTTGGTTTTTTGGAATATGTCCTTTCCAATAATTACAGGATTCAAAAAGGCTTTTCTAAGCTCGAGGAAGTCTTCTTTGGATATTTGACAAGGTTCAAGAAGGGAGTTACAACTCAGGCAGACTCCGCTGTAAATCAACAGTTACTTAATAAAATCTAACTTATGATTTGAAAAAGATCTTAAAAATTAAGAAGAAAATTTAAAAAGCCTATTGGAGGTTGTTCTCAGGGGGTAGCGGAATGTTATCCCCCTGGAATTTTAACTCTTTAAAAAAATTGTTAAAATTACTACTGAACAAAAAATAGTCTAGGGGGTAAAATTACGGCCACAAACTTTTTACTTTCACAAATCATGAGTTGAATGAATAAAAGGTGGAACTAAACATATCTTTTCACGGTTGTTAATTTAATACGAACAAATCAAATTACAAAACCTAGACAGTGTTTCCATACGTGGGATTGCTATCCCGAAAATGGGATTTTTAGAGCATGAGCGGTAACGCGATGTGGGATAAAACAGGATTTTTGGCTATGACGTCTGTTTTTATACTTTTTTTTACCGAACAACTACCTAACCCCAATTGATAAAATTACTGTACGGTATCAAAATATAATAGCTATGATTAAACTACCTACTATTTAAACAATATACGTCTTATATAACACTCAGAATTGAAGAAAAAAATCTTGCAGGGTAAAACGGGATTTTTCATGATTTAAAAGCGGGATTAACACTAATACCGAAACCCTACCTAGGCTGACATTAACCGAAATCCCCGGTCTGTGAGACCCCATTTGAAAAATAATGGACCCTGCTTAGAAACACACAAACCGAAACCCTCGGCCTGTGAGACCGCGCTTTAAAATACACTAAAGCTGGGCTTCTGAGACGGGCGTGTTATGAACAGACAACCTGCCAAGGTCACGGCACCCATGCAAAATGAACAAACAATATATCAATTGGTAGGGGAGGAAAAGGGGGGAAGGTGTTGGGGGAATGGAATCTCTCAAGTGAACAGTGTTGAAAACAAGCGTTTGTAAAAATTCCGGTGGGCCTGTCAGACCGGGGTTTCGGTATTAGTGTTAAACAAGATTTCTGGACCCAGTGAGCGGGATTATTTTTTTGGTTAAGTGGAAACACTGTACCTAGAGTGTATGGCCCTGAATTTTACCCACGGACCAAGGCAACAGTTGCCTTGCACGAACCTTTACCTCCATCATGAGATTTTGGTGGTAATAGTTAAATGTGTAGCCTAACTTACATAATGGGCATTTTTAGAGAAAGACATTGAAACAGTTAGGCCTTGAACTAATAATTACTGTAGCCTATGTTAAATTTTGTAGGCTAATTAAAATTTGAACACAATATAGAAATAAATTCAATACTTGTATAAATGCAATACTTGTATAAATTCAATACTTGTATAACTTCAATAAAAACTTTAGCTTTCCTGCTGTTTTCATGAAAAATTTCAATAAAATATTGTCATTCCCTTAGAATTTTGAAAATTCATATTTTCATATTATACTTTTTTAAGTCATGCATATCAGTTTTGTGAAAAAATAGCCTAAAATGATAACTTACTCTCTCTTAACCTTTGTGAATGTCGCTATTGCCTTTTCATTATATTCCTCAAATGCATCCTTGATAATCTTGCACACCATGTCTGATGGTTTGACATTAAAATAGTTGAAAAAGTTCAAAACTCTTGTTATATCTTCGTTTTGCCTTCTAAATCTTACTTTTTGAAACCAATGTAAAAATACTTCATCTGGAACATTACACCCTTGGTACTGCATTTCTTCCATCAGCTTCCACCCCACTTCAAAGTCTCCCTTGTCAAATGAAGTTAGAATTACCACTTTGTAGGTACTCACTGAAGGATTGTAAAATTGTTTGATAGCAACAAATAGTTTTTCATATTCTTTCCAATTTTCGGTAACACATAATCCTAACACAGCTTTTTCCGCTGTGCTATAATCTAAGAGAGGATACACTTCTGATAGTTCTTTATAAACAATTAAGATTTCATTCAAATCGTCACTACTACAGTCACTTGCACATTGATGGAATAAACGTAAATAACTACCGTAACAAGCTCTGTTGATGGGAGTATTTAAGGACTTCAAGTACTTAAAGTAAGATTTGCCTAGAGGTAAGGACTGGATATCAGAACACTTGTTTAATATGACAGCGTCAATATTTTTGGCATTAATTTTTCCAGACAGTTTCAATAATGAATTTCGTAAAGCGTCCCATTTTTGGGTTGACATGTCAGCAGCATTGTTTCTTACACTCTGCAAGTTACTCAATAAAACATCCTCTTGTTTATAATATTCGTTGAAAAAACTGTCCTTGCCATTATCGTCCAGTTTGTCTTCATCATCAGATTCAACATTTGAATGCAGGCTTAATCTTCTGTTACTTAAACCGTTCCAACAACCGTTTCCATATGATGAAATGTTTCTTGCTTTATCAATTCTATATTTTAATGAAGCTGGCGAACCTGATTCACAATTTGTTGTTGCAAGTAATCCTCTAAGTGTAGCTGAATTCTCATGATAAATATTCACGATAGCACATTGGTTGATGCGGAATCGCATGAAATGTTTCATGTTTGTAATGGTCCAACTATTTTTGGCAGCACGATCTGCAGAATCTTGTCACCAGTGTTGATACTTAAAACTAAAAATACATACAAATTAGATATACGAGTAAATGGTTGACTTTCCAAACATAATTGTTTAAAAATAGCATTAGACAAATTCAATAATTTACATTTTATGTTGAGATTTATATTTTTTCAAGTAAAAGTTTTACTTGGTTAACTTTAAGTAGAATATTGCGCAGGGTACGTGAATGGAGAATAGTTGGCTTTTAATTACTAAAACTATACATCCTCTAGGTAGGGGATTTAAGGACCTGCTCTGTAATTTTTTTTCATAAAAAAGAGATTAGTTGAATAAACCACAACAGAATAAATTTATTTTCTGCCCCAATTCCTCTCTTAGATGCTAAGCCTTTACAACAAATTTTCCTTTCAAATTAGCTTGGTTAAAAAATCAGAGTAACTTAAGTAATTGACAGAAATCAATAATTAACATCAGCTCACTCTGTTGGGGCTCAATTCTACTACCCTTAATTTGTCTTTTAAAAAACTTGAACACAATTAAAATGACAAATGTAATATCTAGAAGGGATGAAGAGAATCCATGGGTCAAACATTGATGTTCACCATCAATGCATCAATAACATTGCTGGCATTGTCATTAAAACACTGTGTTTCAGGGTGTAAACATTGGTGTTTTTAATATTTTTTTTAATGGTATTTAGTAGTTTTGATAAATCATCCTATGTTTTTTAACGGATTCAGCTAAGTTAATAAACCTAGACGTTCTGGATGGTTACACATTTGCAAGGATCCTAATTAACTATGTTAGTGTTTTAATCATTCAGGAGTGTTTGCTGCAGTTTGTGATCGATGACATGATTTTTGGCAGTGTTTTATAAACTAGTAGGCCTACCTAGGTACCTTATAACAACAATGTAGATGTTAATTTAGATTTAGATAGTAGTTTGTTAATTTCCAAACAAGGCTTGCCAAAACAAACTCCTACCGTAAATAAAGTTAGGCTAATGACATTTTGAAACTGTATCGAGATAACTATTTATTGGAAAGTTAAAAACCAAAGTCTCAGTAATTGAAAAACTGACTTATTGAGTGGAGCGAAGCGAAGCGATTTGGGATCAACTTCAATGCTATCTTTATAGGCCTAACACTTAATCCCGATAACGGGTGAACATAGTGTAGCCAAACTTACCAAGGTTGTTTTGTTTAGATAACTTATTCAGGTTAGACAATAAAAAAATTAACTTAGGCCTACTTAGGCCTATTCAGTTTTTTTTTGTCCATGGGTTGTCAAAAACAGACGTTATTTCTTGAAAATTTTGATGTAACTTACTGTAGTAAAAACTTCAGTCCACAGAGGCATCAATGTAAAAATTAACAATAATTGGTAGAAAAAATCAATGTTTCTAAAACATAAGTTATCAACGCTCTAACAATGGACTAGTTCAATCCACAGTCAAAGGTAAAATGGAAGACTCAGGAGACTTGTGATTGAAGATTACAGTTGCGTAGGAAATTCATTTAATGTTTTTTTTAAGACCTAAGTTACTGATGTAAATAAATAATAAGTTAATATTGGCCTTAGTCACATACTAAGACTACAAGATTGCGCCACTCATCCTACACTCATCTCCATTCATACTTGGCTTTTAAATGCCCTACATTCAAAGTAGGTCGCCATTTCAAAGTAGGCCTAAGTTAAAGTATTAAATATCAGAATTTTATTTAAACTAAGGTTATTTACGGTAATACGAAATATTGAACAAAGCCTCCTTTCTTGGAAGTAAGCTGTTTTGACGACTTATTATTTGGTTTGAATACCAGTAGCCAAAGGGCTAAACTAACATAACATGGCCGAAAATAACCTAACCTTCGGCCTACCTCTTATTTATAGGCCTAAAAGCAACTACCGGTCTTAACTTAACTTACCGTAGGCCTATGGCCTACTTCAATAGCCAGCAAAATAATTTTTAGGCAACACAAGGGGCATTGGGTTGCAGCTGTAAAAAAATTAATGTATTTGCCAGTAACTTAAGTTATGGATATGTAGGAACTAACTTAGGCTAGGGTAACAGGTTTTCAGATCCTATTGACTATTGACGGATATAGTTTCTTATCTGGGATACGCTATTGTCGGATTAAAATATCGATTAACATTAACCAAACTTTCTGTCCTTAGGGTAGTTTCTTAACTGGGCTATGCTAATTTCGATTGAAACTATCGATTTAATTAGTAGGTAACTTAAACCTTCATGCGATTTTTTCACCATCAGCAAGTTTGGTTGGTTAGGTTAGGTTATGATAGGGCCTAGTTTAATTTTATAATAGATATATTAAAAATTATCGATTATTAATCAATATTTTCAATTCGATAGTTTCAATCGATATTAGCATAGCCCAGTTAAGAAACTGTAGGTACCCAATTAAGTTACTAATCAATATACAGGGTGGCGCAGATGGATCGGGTGGTTTTAAAATACTTGTCAAACTGTCAATTTTAAAGGTATTGGATTGAAATAAAGTGCAAAACGTGTTGTTACAATGGAAGTTTATTAACAAAAAATTAGTTAAGTTAGTTTTTAAAAATTACATCCATCAAATGCTTTCCTTCTCGAGCGACGCATTCTTGGAGTCGGACCTTGAGGTCCCGTATTGCTCGCTCAAGCACATCACCAGGAATTGATGTGATTTTGTTGTGAATTGCAGCCTTCAACTCCTGAAGCAAGGGACTACATGAACAAACCCCGGACCATTCAGGAGTTGAAGGCTGCAATTCACAACAAAATCACATCAATTCCTGGTGATGTGCTTGGGAGAGCAATGCGGAACCTCAAGGACCGACTCCAAGAATGCGTCGCTCGAGAAGGAAGGCATTTAATGGATGTAATTTTTAAAAACTAACTTAACTAATTTTTTGTCAATAAACTTCCATTGTAACTACACGTTTTGCACTTTATTTCAATCCAATACCTTTAAAATTGACAGTTTGACAAGTATTTTAAAACCACCCGATCCTTCTGCGCCACCCTGTATAATCGATCATTCAACAGTACCAAAGTATCCCTGCTTATAAAAACTACAATAATTCGACTAAATCTAAGTTACTCAACTTAAGTCTTATTTTACTTAGTACCTTTTTGTAGGCCTGCATAACAAATAAGTTAAATCATCAATTTATGTATTGCAACAAAATAAATAATTAACTTATGCCAGTACTAAGTATCTGGATGATCGGTTTAGTTTTCAAACTCACTTAACACAAATAAATTCCACCAGATTTGAATTTTCCGGCACATACAAACCATAATAATAAATTTATAGTAAACTTAGTAACTTATAATCATTTTAATTTTCATAATGTGAGGATTTAGGAAAACGAAAACCTAACCTACACATCTCACATCTCGGCGAGCGTTTCAGGGCAGGAATTGGACTAGCCTACTGCGCATGCGCAATTCGTAAAATTGAGCTGATCTCAAATGAACGACTCTCACACAATTGAAGCAAAAGAGTTGTTTACTGTTCTGCTGTCGTTGGTCGTTCTGTTCTGTTATCTGTCTGCCGTTCTGCCCCTGCCGTGCCCCAGCGATTGTAGTTTTCAAAGTCTTTAAGCTGTCGTCTTTAAGCTGTTTTTTTAAATAATTTGAGGTTTTATCGAAGTATCGTATGTTTTGAAGTCGGATTTATAAAAGAGTGTTTATTGTTATGCGTTCTACCGTGCCATCCCCGTGCACCCTTGTAAGTTAAAGTTAGTTTTTATACTGTAGGCCTAGTCTTTAAAAGTGTTTGTTGTGTTTTGTTCCAAGTGTTGTCCAAATAAAACAAGGATACAGTTTACAGTTTCTTAACTGGGCTACACTAATATCGATTGAAACTATCGATTCGATTAGTAAACTGTGATTTTTTCACCATCAACAAGTTTGGTTAGTTAGGTTAGGTTATGATAGATTAATTTTATAATAGACATTAAGTTATATTTTAAAATATCGATTATTAATCAATATTTCAATTCGATAGTTCCAATCGATATTAGCGTAGCCCAGTTAAGAAACTGTTGTACCCCTGTAGGGTCACACAGTTCTAGGACATGGTTAGGACTACCAACATTTCCCATAAACATTGCAAAAGGACGAATCTTATAATTATATAAGAACTGTCTAGGCTGTGTGGTAAAAGGCACTTACACAATAAATGACAAATGACAAACTTTATTGCCTTTAAAACATGTTACATGCATGGCATCGTCCGAGAAGAATACAGTATAATAATAATTAACATTAGGCCTAGTATACATCCAAGACTTCTATTTAACATTCTATTGACTAGACCTATAAGTTGAAATATAGATTGGGTTGAGACAAATATTCTACAAACTCATTCACATCACATATACAAATATCTAACAATAAACTTTTTAAACATGTTTTAAATTTCTTATCATCTAACAACTTAATATTTTGAGGAAGAGAGTTAAAGATTCTTTTACCTGTTTCAAAAGGTGAATTAATAGTAGCTTGATAATTGCACTGATTGACTCTCAAAAAACTATTTTGTCTAGTACAATGACTATGAACTAAACTATTGGTAGGAAACTCATTTATGTTAGACTTAATATATTGCAATAAATTTAACACATACAATGCAGGTACAGTTAACACTCTTAGTTTTCTAAAAAGTGGCTTACAGTGTGTTCTTCTCCTTACTTTACACATTACTCTCAAAGCTCTTTTTTGTAACACTAACAATTTCTTAATATTATTATCACAGCCCCAAATCACAATACCATACATCAAGTGACTTTGAATTAGAGAGAAATAAACTGCTAACAAAATATCTAAGCTTACTATATTACTAAGTCTTCTGATCACAAAAGTGCTTCTAGAAACCTTTTTACATACATTTGAGATGTGGGTGTTCCATTTAATATTTGGTTGTAAAGACAAACCTAAAAACTTAACGTCTTCACTAAAATCATAATTATTGTGATCAAATTTGATTACTTGTGTTTTTTCTTTGTTAAGACATAAGCAATTAGCTGCTGCCCAGTCTTCTATTATTAAGTTAAAGTGACACAACAATTGATTGGCTAAACTATGACTAGAACAATTAATCTGAATAGCTACGTCATCTGCATACATATAAGGTGACACACAAGCATTGCTAAGTGATGCTGATAAATCATTAACATAAATAATAAACATAGTTGGGCCAAGAATTGAACCCTGTGGTACTCCTATCTTGACATTTAAATATTCTGAAAAACAGCCTTTAAAGCACACACTTTGAAACCTATCTGACAAGTAAGATTGAATAAGACTTGTTGATTTAACATTAAAACCATAATATATAAGTTTATCCATTAGTACCTTGTGATCTATTGTATCAAATGCTTTTGACATATCATAAAAACTACCAAAAACATGTTTTTTACTATCTAAGCTAAATATACATTCTTTCATACCCCGTGCGGTACCGGGTTAGAATAGCACCGCAGCCTTCTCGGGCTTGTCGTAAGAGGCGACTAAAAGGGTGACCGACGAACTCACTGGGAGTCCCTGGGAGTGCCCCTGTTGTGTTGCAGGGGTTGATGTGTGCTCTGCACTGCCGATGGGTATTCTTAGTGGGTCGTGAGAAGCCAGCCACTTCGGTCCTTGGTCAAGGAGTGCGGCATGGATGTAGAGGTCGGGCTCTGCATTGCGACGGGCGACCCCCGGCATGTCAGGTATCCGGTGCTGGGCAAACGGAGGTCAGGCCCCGGGGAACTGGGGTAGGGGTCTTTGTCCCCGAGGGTATACCCGTTCCTGACTGATTCCGGGCCGCTCCTTGCCGGACGATGCGCTGGAATAAACACGATGGATTTAAATAAAACCCCTCATAACACATTTTTGATTAAGAGCTCAAATGAGCCAGAAAAGACGTTGGAAGTGGACCTTTTTTTTCATGACCTTGGCTTCGTTTTTGCCTGCCGGGTGGTGAGTAAGGCAGCCATGGAGAAGATTGCCGAGAAGGTTGTGTCTCTGTCTGACGAAAGAACACTGCCTTCTAAGAAACGTAAAAGGCCTTCCACATCGGACAGTCCTCAAAAAAGAGAAGAAGGCGTCCAAACCAAAAGGACCACGGTAAAGGCCAAGGCAACTCAGACTGATCTATTGTCTGCTGTGCCCAGATCCTTTTCGGACATAGCTGCAGCTCCTGCAAAGAGCCAACAACCACAGCTACCTACGACCCCCCTTCAGGGAAGTTCCCGAAAGGGGTCAGTCGTAGAGACACCTGGGGCTGCGTGGGAAAAACGTCGTTCCCGAAAGGAGAAGAGGCAGTTGAGGCGGGCGGAGGTCGCCTCTATAAAGAATGTGGCAGTGAAGGCACAGCCGACCGGCGTGGCCCAAACTGGGCCCGGCTCGGTCTCTGCTCCGAAAAAGTCCCGGCCAAAAAAGCCCAGGACGGAGGCAATCCTGGTCAAGCCCTCAGGGGGGAGATCTTTCGCCGAGGTCTTGGGTGCAATTAAGGCCAAGGCTAAGCCAGAGCAGACCGATACGGTTGTACGGTCGATTAGACGAACCCGGGACGGGGACGTTCTCCTTGAACTGGGTAAGTCGAAAGACAAAGCAGCCTTTACTGCCGAACTGAAGGCAGCTGTTGAAGGCCAGGGCACCGTCCGTGCTCTTGAACCAAAGACATCAGTCGAGGTTCGAGACATTGATTGTGTGTCGACGGAGGTTGATGTTGTTGAGGCCCTGAAGAAAGCTGTCCCCGAGCTTGGCGGGCAAACGGCTTTATTTAAGGTGTGGCTCACAAAACCGAATAGGAGTCAGCAGCGGATGGCGGTCGCCGAAATGGCAGACGCACATGCCACGAAAGTGCTGGGACTCCAGCATCTGAGAGTCGGCTGGGTCAACTGCAGGCTCAGACGGAGAGTGGAAGTGAAGAGGTGTTTTAAATGCCTCTGTTTCGGCCATTCCTCCCGAAACTGCAAGGGACCCGACCGAAGCAAGAACTGCCTTCGGTGCGGGGAGGTCGGTCACGTCCGTAAGGACTGCCAAGTCGAGTCCTGTTTCCTTTGCAAAGAAAATGGGCTCGCTGACAAACACTTGAAGCATATAGCTGGGTCTGGACAGTGTAGTGTATTCAAATCTGCACTACAGCAAGCGAAAGTCCTTTCACGAAGATAAGAATCCTTCAGTGCAATCTTGAGCGATCCAGGTCGGCTGACGCACTTCTATGTCAGCTTGCCCTAGAACACGATGTCGACGCGCTCTTAGTCAGCGAACAGTACCAGTACCGTGATAGGGACCCATCTTTTTGGTTCCCTGATAGTCTTGGTACTGCTGCATTCTGGGCGCGTAATGCAGCGAAAGTACAAGTACGGGGTCACGCGAAGGGCCGAGGTTTCGTTTGGGTTCGGTGCCGGGATGTCACTTACTTTAGTGTCTACCTCACTCCTAACGAGGCCATCCGTGAATTTCGTGAGAAGATAGACCGCCTGGAAGAGAGCGTGCGCAATACCACAGGACACGTCGTCGTGGGTGGGGATTTTAATGCTAGGGCTGTCGAGTGGGGAATGACCCTCACCAATTCCCGGGGCAAGTACATTCTGGACTTTGCTGCCAGAGCCGGACTCGTTGTCGTCAACGAGGGAAACACGCCAACTTTCCGGTGCCCTGGGATGCGGGGAACGATCCCAGACATAACCCTTGCATCTGAGTCCCTTTTGCCAAGGATCAGAGCCTGGAGAGTTCTGGAGGATTACACGGGCAGTGACCACCAGTACATTATTTTTGATGTCCTGGATGGTCATCAGAGACAAGTAGCCGCGTTTCGTCAAGTGCCCGTTCGATGGAATATTAAAAAATTGGACGTGGCAAAATTCAATGAAGCCATCTTACGAGGAACACCGGTGGTTCCCCCCGCAACTGGTGTGGCTCATGCAGAGGTGTTAGTTACATCCATGATGGGACTAATCGTCTCCGCTTGCGATGAGTCTATGCCTCGCGGAAGATCCCGGTGCAATAAGCGACCTGTGTACTGGTGGACTGCCGAGATTGCGGAATTGCGTCGGTCAGCATTGAGAGCCAGAAGACTTGCTACCAGGGCCAGAGAACCTGTAGACAGACGTCGTAAGTCGGATGCTTACAGAGTGGCTAGGAGGTCTCTTCGTCGAGCCATCAACCGGAGTAAACGTAGTTGCTGGGAGACATTAAGGGACGATATCGATTCCAATCCGTGGGGCTTGGGTTACAAACTGGTAACCAAGAAACTTGGCACCCGCTCTCCACCTTCCGTCATGGATGGGGCCACTATGGAGAGGATAGTCGAGTCCCTTTTCCCGGCTCACACGTTGCGCCCACTGCGGGATTTCGGAAGGGTGGATGACGTACCACTTTTCAGTCTTGGAGAGGTGGAG